ACCTCACTTAACACTTAACATGTTCTAGGTCCATCCATTTCCCTGCAAATGACATCATACTATTCTTTCTAATGGCTGTGTAAAATTCCAATGTGTACAGGTACCACGTTTTTTAGGATATTTGGGCTGTTTCTGTAGCTTGGCTTTTTACCTTTTCTTTTTTCCTTTTGTAATTAAGCAGTTTGTAAGGACATAATTTTTGATTACATAAATAAGCTTATATCATTAAACTTTATTCAGTAGTTTTAGTTTCATTTGAAAATTTTTGTGGTAGTTTAAACTCAGGACTCATACTTGTTAGGTGGCCACTCTACCACTTGAACTATGCTCTCAGTGCTCCCTCTACTTTTGTGAAAATATTTTTTTATTGCTATTGTAAAAGTGATATACAATGGGGTTACACTTACATAAGAGTACATTTCCCCTCACTTTTGGCTAGTTATTTATTTGAAGAGAGCTTTGAGGTTTTGCTCAGAGCTAACCTAAGACTATGAATTCTATGTAACTGGAGTTTCAGAATTAGAGTTGCACACCATCACACCGGGTTTGTTATGTGAAATGGGAGGTCACTAATTTTTGCCTTAGCTGGTCTTCCTTCAGCTGCAGTCTTTTCAATCTCTTGAATAGCTGGGACTATTGGCACAAGCCACTATGCTCAGTATTGTGATTTTTCTTAAGGAATGTTGAAGGCAAGCTGTTGCTATTAGAATAAAACTTCCTTTTAGACTTGCTTTAAAGTTTTATTAGAGTAACTCTAGAATACTTTTTCTCTAGGGATGTTTACTCATAATTGAAATGACAGGGTTAAACTGATGTATGATTACTTTAATATCTTCATGAAATTGCCCTGTGTAGATCTTTGAGAATTTTCCACTGTGGCTGTTTAGAATGCCCTTAATATTTTCCTACCTTGTATGATCTCTGGACATTGTTCAGCTTAACACTTTCCATTCAGCTTGGTGTTAGTGGCACATACTTGTAATCCTAGCTGAGGATTGTGGTTCCAAGCTGGCCCAGTGAGGAAAGATTGTGAAATTCTTGGGCTTGAACTCTGGTCTTGGGCGCTATCCCTCAGCTCTTCAACTCAAGGAGATAAGAGTCTCATGGACTTTCCTGCCCTGGCTGGCTTTGAACCTTGATCCTTAGATCTCAGCCTCCTGAGTAGCTAGGATTGAGCCACCCGCGTCCGGCTTTAAGATTGTGAGATTTTGGGGGGGGGGTTCCTGTCGTGCGGCCTGAACTCTGGGCGTGGGTGCTGTCCCTTAGCTCTTCAGCTCAAGACTAGCGCTCTAACGCTTGAGCCACAGCTCCACTTCTGGCTTTTTTCTTTTTGCTTATTTGGTGCTGAAGAATCGAACCCAGGGCCTCATGCATGCAAGGCAAGTGCTCTACCACTGAGCCACCTTCCCAGCCCCAAGATTGTGAGATTCTTGTCTCCCATTAACATCCTAAGAACTGGAAGTGGAGCTATGGCACAAAGTGGTAGAGTGCCAGCCTTGAGCAAAAAACTCAGGAACAGTGCAAGGCCCTGGGTTCAAGGCCTATGTCAGGGGGAAAAAAATCCTATTGTTCTTTTCCCAGTGCTTTTTTTTTTTTTTTGCCAGTCCTGGGGCTTAAACTTAGGCCTGGGCACCCCCCCCCATCCCCCGCCCAAGGTTCTTTTGCTAAAGGCTAGTGTTCTACCACTTGAGCCACAGCGCCACTTCTGGCTTTTACTGTTTAAGTGGTACTGAAGTATCAAACCTAGGCTTCATGCATGCTAGGCAAGCACTCTACCACTAAGCCACATTCCCAGACACCCCCCTCCCATCCCCCCGCTTTTTTTTTTTTTTTAATGCTAGTACTGGATCTTGAACTTAGTAGTGGGTCTTCATGCCTCTTGCTTGGCTTATTTAATGAAGGCTGGTTACTCTCATCACTTGAGCTATATTTCCATGGCAGGCTTTTTTTGTTTTTTGGGTATTTTTGGCTGATTAATTGGAGGCAAGTGTCTCAGACTTTTCTTCCTGGGTGGCTTTGACTTGTGACCTTCAGTTTTCAGCCTCCCGAGTAGCTAGGATTACTTATGTGAGCCATTAACACCCTGCTCTGTGTGTGCATTTGCATGCACATGCAACTCAATACTGAAATAAGAGTATCTCAGATTTGTCTGCTGGGCTAACTTCAAACCATAATCCTCAGTCTCAGCCTCCTCAGTAGCTAAGATTGCAGGTGTAAGTCACTGGCTCTTGGGTGTTTGCCCCGTCTAACCTGGGTATCATCGTGTACATGAATGGAAAAATAGAAAACACTTTTGCTATTCAATAGTCACCTAATCTTAAATCCATCCCCCATGTAGTCTAATGTTTACTGTAACTACCCCAACTGTGACCTTAATTTTTATAATCATTTTTACTAGATTCTATTTTTATTCTCAGTGACCTCAACCAAAAAATAGTTTGAGTCAAAGGAAGTCCCTTTTCCTGGGTGGGTCACATGATAGTTAGTGTTGCTTGTCATGTATTTGTAACACTTTTCGTATATCTTATTCCAGTTTGTGTGGTGTGTGTGTGTGCATGCATGCATGTGCAAGCGTGCATGCACATACATGTATACATTCATATATAAGTACAGGTACATGTACATACATACATACTGGAGCTTGAACTTGGGCTCACCGTTTTGAGTCAGTAGCTTGTTCTCTACTACTTGGATTTCACCAATAGCTCTTGCTTTTTATTAATTGTTTGGAGTTAAGAGTCTGTTGGGTTTGTTTTCCCCACTGGCTTTGAACCAAGATTCTCAGATCTTAGCCTTCCAAGTAACTAGCTAGGATTGTAGATGTGACCCAGTGTCACGCAACTCTTTACTAGGCCTAACAATCTTGCTTAGCATTTGCACTGATGGCTGTTGTATGCTTTACTTCCAGTCTAGCTTTTTTCCTTGTTAATTGGAGGTAAAAGTCTCTCAGACTTTTTGCCCATGCCATCTTCAAACCATGATCCCCTGCTGAGTAGCTAGGACTAGGTGTTGAGTCATTGGTGCCCACTGGTCTTACTATATAATTGGCATGAACTGTTATATAATCTAGTAACTCATGCTCCTTCTGTTTTTGCCTCCTGAGTGCTAGGATTACAGGTATTTGTGATCATAATATTCTTAGTATTTGGATCCTATACTTGAGTACAAAATGTTAATAGATTGATTTTATTTGATTTTTTAAAAATATATTCAGGATAGGGGCTGGGAAGGTAGCTCAGTGGTAGAGTGCTTGCCTAGCATGCATGAAGCCCTGGGTTTGATTCCTCAGCACCATGTAAACAGAAAAAGCCAGAATTGGCTCTGTGGCTCAAGTGGTAGAGCGCTAACCCTGAGCTGAAGACCTGAGGGACAACGCCTAGACCCAACAACAACAGCAACAAAAAATTAAAAAAAAATATATATATGTATATATTCATGTAGATTATCTGTGTGATTATAGAACAATCCAGTGTATTGGTAAGGATGGAGGGCTTTGAAGTTAATTTTTACTTTTTATTGAGGCAATGATTTGTGGGGTACAATGTGATACCCTTATATAAACAATGTGTAATGATCAGGGTAATTAGATTTCCATCTCCTTAAACATTTGTCATTTCTTCATTTTTGGAGGATCTTTGAAGCTCCTTCCTTTTAATTGTTTCAATAAATTATCACCATGCTGTGGTGTATGTATAATCTAACCTCCTTCTGTTCCAATATTTTACTTTCCTTTGTCACCTCTAGAGACCACTCTTCTACTGTCTTCTATGAGATCAACTTTTTTGAGTGATGTATTATTTGTCTACTCTGCCTGGCTTATTTCACTTAACATTGTGTCCTTCAGTTAATGTTGCAACAGATGACAGGATGTCATTTTTTTTTAAATGGATGAGCAGATTCTCTATTGTATAATACACCACATTTTGTTTATCTGAGGAGTGTATGTGTATATATATATATGTATATGTGTATATATGTTTATATTGTATCTATATTTATATGTATCTATTGGCTGGCAGCACAGGAGTTTGAACTCAGGGCCTGAGCTTGCTAGGCAGGCACTCTACCCCTTCAGTCATGCCTCCAACTAAAGAACTTGAACTCTGGGCCTGGGCACTGTCCCTGAGCTCTTCAGTTCAAGGCTAGCACTATACCACTTGAGCCACAGTGCCAATTTTGGTTTTCTGGAGGTTAGAGACAAGAGACTCACAAACTTTCCTGCCCAGGCTGGCTTTGAACCTCAATCCTCAGACCTCAGCCTCCTGAGTAGCTACGATTATAGGCGTGTGCCACTGGTACCCAGCAGGAATTTATTTTTAAAAAGCTTTTGTTATTCATTGCACTGTTGTTATATGATTTGGATTCTATTGCTCTTATCTAAACTTTTCTTATAACTCATGTAGACTCAGAGATGTTATGAGTTTATCTGAGTTTTAAAACTATTAGCTAGATGTATAAAGAGTCCTAATTCATTGATCCTTACTACTATTCCTGGATGTGATATAATTGAGCTTATATGGCTTTTCTTAACATTTTTAGGATTTATTTTTGTTTATTATTTTTGTGTTTGTGTGCTGTTCCTGGGGCTTGAACTTAGGGCCTTGGAATTGTCCTTGAGCTTCTTTTGCTCAGGGCTAGTGCTCTATCACTTGAACCACAGCTCCACTCTGGTTTTGTTGGTAGTTAGTTGGAGCCACATTTCCACTTCTGGTATTTTAGTTTACTGGGGATATGTGTTTCATGGACTTTTCCTGCCTAGGCTGACTTGGAACTGTGATGCTCAGCTCTTATAGCCTCCTGAGTAGCCAGGATTATAGATGTGAGCCACCAGTGCCCAGCAGGATTTATTTTTCATATTTAGGCATATTAAATTAAAATATTAAAAATTAAATTACAACCATCTGGATATTATGTTTAGGATATGTACATTTTGATTCATATTCATGTTTTTTATATTTATATTTGAAACAAAAAATATTTTATTAAATAATTCTACACAGGAAGATGAACCGCAGGAAGATGCTAAAGAATTGCAGCAAGGTAAACCCTATCATTGGAGAGACTGGTCAATCATTAGAGGAAGGGACTGCTTATATATTTGGAGTGATGCTGCAGCTTTGGAATTATCTAATGGCAGTAATGGATGGTTCAGATTTATCCTGGATGGAAAACTTGCTACCATGTATTCAAGTGGTAGCCCTGAAGGTGGATCAGATAGTTCAGGTAATACTTTCTTTCAATTAAAATAGTGTCTTTTAAAATTCCTTTCTGCTGCTCGTATTGCCATCAAAGTAGCACATTTTTTTATGATCTTCGGAACAATTATATAAGAAAGAAAATTTGTTGTACTATAAAAACATTTTATATATGCCTTTTGTTGTTGTTTTGTGCTGGTCCTGGGGCTTGAATTCAGTGTACTCTAGACAGATTACAGGCATGTATGTGCCATAGGCACTGGCCATATGTGACTTTTATTGTATACAACCTAAATATCAGTAGAGCTGACCTGTAAATGGGTACGAAGGCATGAAACTAATACTTATTGTATGAAATCTACATTATAATAATTTCTCTGTTTTTTTTTGTTGTTATTGTTCTTTTTTTTTGTGGTGCCCTGGACTTTGCATCTATTGGGCAAGTGCTCTACCATTGAAGTATATATATACCCCAACCTCTAATATGGAGTTTGTGTTTTAAAAATCATGAAGTATTTGAAAGGATTGAGGTTTTTTAAAACAATATTTTGTCTCTATAGAAAGCAGAAGTGAATTCCTAGAGAAACTACAAAGAGCTCGAGGGCAAGTAAAGCCATCTACTTCAAGTCAACCTATACTATCAGCACCAGGACCCACTAAACTTACTGTTGGGAATTGGTCACTAACATGCTTAAAAGAAGGAGAAATTGCTATTCATAACTCAGATGGTCAGCAAGCTACAATATTGAAAGAAGATTTACCTGGTTTTGTATTTGAATCTAATAGAGGAACCAAACATTCATTTACTGCAGAAACTTCTCTGGGTAAGTATGTAACTATTGTAATTTTAGCAAGTAAGAATGAATAATAAAACTATATAAATAAATTATATTAATGTATACAAATGTGTATAAATAAATTGTAATAAAGTATGTTTTGTGTATGTTTTTTTATTATCCCTATCCTAGGTTCAGAATTTGTGACTGGCTGGACTGGCAAGAGAGGCAGAAAACTGAAATCTAAATTAGAAAAAACAAAGCAAAAGGTATATTTGTGAAATGTGATTTCTTTTTTATAGTGACGTGGCAATTTTTTTGCTAGATTATAAGGTTTGTAAAGTTGAGCAATGTTTTTGTTTGTGGGGATGGGCAGAGTTTTGAGACTTGAATTTTCAGGGCCAGGGTGCTGTCATTGAGCTTTTTTGCTTAAGGCTAATGCTTTACCGCTTGAACCACAGTTCCACTTTTGGCTTTTTGGTGGCTAGTTGGAGATAAGAGTCTCATGGACTTTATTGTCTTGGCTAGCTTCAAATTGTGATCCTCAGATCACATCTTCATCCTTTGTCTCATCAACACCTGGCTTTTTTTTTTTTTTTTCCTCCTAGTACTAGTGCTTGAACTCAGTGCCTCCTGCTCTTGCATGTTTTTTCCTTCCAAGCTAGTGCTCTACCACTTAAGCAGTTCCTTTACTTTTGGCTTTTTGCTAGTTAATTGGAGATAAAAATCTTACACATTTCTGTCTAGCCTGACTTTGAACCTCAGTACTCAACTTTCTGAGTAGTTGGGATTATAGACATCAGTCACAAGGGTCCAGCAACAGAGTATCTTAATCAAAATGCTTAAAACTAAATGTGCTTCAGATTTCTTTTGATCTTGAAAACTTACATGTACATAATGAGATGCCTTGAGGTTGATTCTTGAGTCTATACACATTTGTGAGATGGAGGTAGAACTCAGAGGAATAGAGTTCTTGCCTAGAATGTGAGATCCTAAGATGGATCCCCAGTGCTGCAAAAGAATAAAATACAATTGATTTGCATTTCATATATATCTTAACCTGAAGGTAATTAGTTTATAATTAATGTATAAAGCAAATATATATATATATGTGTGTGTGTATATCACAAAGTGGAATTTTTTGCCCTTGTGGTATGTGCGCACATAAAAATTTTCAGATTTTGGCATATTTTATATTACAGGAACAAGGATGCTTAGTCTATATATTATATTCACCTACCACATAAAGACTAAGAGAAGTAAAACTCTTTAACACTAGACAAATAATCAGGAAGATCCACGTCACATTCTTACATTTTTGTTTTCTTTAAAGCCAAACAAAATGACGAAAATAAACTATTATTAATATACTCCTTAAAAAATATGTTGAAGATCAAACCCAGGGAGTTGATAGACCATACTACATCCCCAGTCCTTGATTTGTTTTCTTGAAATTAGTAAATCAGTGATCAGTCAGTTACTCTTTCAGTGTATAAAACTACTTTTCAGAATACCCTTACTGTTGGCATTGGGTGCTGGTGTCTTATACCTGTAATCTTAGCTCCTCAAGAGGCAGAGAATGAGGATTGTGGTTTGAAGCCAACACAGCAGGAAAATCCATGAGAGTCTTACTTTCAACTAACTGCTTTAAAATATAAAATTTTAAAAAAGGCTCGAAGTGGAGTTGTACCTTGAGCAAAAAAAGCTCAGAGGGACTAACCAGGCCCTGAGTTCAACCCTAGGACTGGCACCCGTAAGCCTCCACCCCACCCCCAAAAAAGAAAATTATTAATTTTAAGTTCAGATTTATTTGTAAATTGTATAGCATATACCAAAAATAGAATGCAAAGTTATCAGTAAGTAGTTTAGGGAGTAAATTTTTTTCTGTTGCATTAAAGTTATATTAGTAGTTTGTAACGAACGTACAATGAAATAAACCCTAAATTTGTGTTACTTACGCGTAAATAGTATTATGTACTAAGTTTCATCAGACTTTGCCTAAATTAGAAAATACATAGGTGGTTCTTTATAACTTTATTTTATTTTAACTTCAGTAATTGATCAGTAGTATCAAAATTGACAATAAAATTATTCCTTCTTGTGCTGAAATATGTAAAATTATAAATGCCATATATAATATGTGTGACTAATATTAGAAACCTAAGTTGTGTCCTAGAATGTTCAAAAAAGAAAAAAAGGTCAGCTTTGATTGATAGACCTAGATAGAAATAGTTAAATAATTTTCCTTTAGATGAGATCTTTTTTTAAAAAAAAAAATTGGTTCAGCATGAACAAGCTAGAAAAAAGTTAATTAGAAAAAAGTTAGTCTTTTATATAATTTGTAACTTCATTTTAAATATACAGTGATTCCTCACCTATCATGGGAATTATCGTTCCAGATAACCCCACAATTGGTGAAAATCCACTAAGTAGTAGATTTTCAGATTTATACAGATTTTCACTTATTGTGGAAGTCTCTGAAATGTAACTCCTGCAATAGGTAAGGGATCACAATTAAAAAAAAAAAAAAACCGGATGCCAGTGGCTCATGCCTGTAATCCTAGCTACTCAGGAGCCTGAGCTCTGAGGATTGTGGTTCAAAGCCAACCTGGGCAGGAAAGTCTGAGATTTTTATCTCCAACTAACCACCAGAAAACCAGAAATGGTGCTGTGGTTCAAGTGGTAGAGCCGTCACCTTGAGCTGAAGAGCTTAGGGATAGTGCCCAGGCCCAGAGTTCAAGCCCCACGATGACTCCCCCCCCTGAAAAAAACACACAAAAAACAAAAACCTGTGATACAGTGAAGCTTCAGTAACTAAATGGCAGTATAGCAAGGGACAACTGTAGTAAGTATTCCAGTTTCATGTTTATGTACCTGAAAAGAAAAATTGTAAGAGTTATTTTAGTAAATGCTTAAAATCTACTAGTATACCCTTTTAATCTTCAAAACCTTTGACGTATGTAAATAGGAGTAGTAACCTATTTTGGGAAGTTAATACATCACAAACATCTTTTTGTTGTGGGATTGAACAACTGGGTGTGATTCACACATTGTAAGTGAACAGTCTACCACTGGTCTGTATCCTGACACTCAAAAATCTTAAAGTCATACACTGACATAAAAGGGAAGACATGGTAAAATTGTTAATCATATTGAAAATTCACCTTTTTTTTTTTTTTGGTATAGGTACGAACTATGGCTCGAGATTTATATGATGACCACTTTAAAGCTGTTGAAAGCATGCCTCGAGGAGTAGTGGTAACACTAAGAAACATAGCAACTCAGTTAGAGTCATCTTGGGAGCTTCATACGAATAGACAAGTATGTTAAGTTTTGTTGTTATTGTTGTTGTTTGTTTTGAGATGAGATTTCACCAGAAAGTAAGTCTGACTTCAACTCTAGGTTGACATGCATCAGTGTAGAGATTATACATATGTGCCATCTTGACTAGTCTTGCCCATTGATTTTTGATACCCAATAAAGCTGGTCTGCCATCTGATTTTCAATAACTTTGTGAGGCAAGAATTTATTTATTGGTGTTCATTACTGTGTTTGTAAATTTTAACAGTGATTTTAACACATAACAAGATAAAGTAGGGAGAAATTTTTTTAGAAAAAGAGAGAAGCAGTTTTTGCTCCCCACATGGGAAAAGCTGGTTAAAAAATTTTAAAACTGAGTTCGAATGTGGCTTAGTTCGATAGAGTGCTTGCCTAGCATGTATGAAGCCCTGGGTTTGATTCCTCTGCACCACATAAACAGAAAAGGCCAGAAGTGGCACTGTGGCTCAAGTGGTAGAGTGCTAGTCTTGAGCAAAAGAAGCTCAGTGACAGTGCCCAAGCCCTGAGATCAAGTCCCAGGACTGGCAAAAAAAAAAAAAAAAAAAAAATTTAAACTGTATTTTTAAGTGCTTGGAAAATCAAGAGAAAAAAATATTTCATAACACATGAAACGTACATGAAAGTCAAATTTTAGAGACCCATTTATGTATTTTATATGACTTCTTCATGTTTGAAAAGTGGAGTTGAATAATCACAAAAGGTATATGGCCAGCAAAGCATAGAATATTTAGTGGGCACTTATAAGAGATAATTGTCTGTAATAATTCTTTTAATTTTGTTTAGTATTTAAATTATCTTTATGATAATTATTATGATGTTACTTTAAGGGCTATTGTTTTTAAAAATTGCTTTCACTAATTTTTTTTCTCTTAGTGTATTGAAGGTGAGAACACTTGGCGTGATTTAATGAAGACAGCTTTAGAAAATCTAATTGTACTTTTGAAGGATGAAAACACAATTTCACCATATGAAATGTGCAGTAGTGGTTTAGTACAAGCACTTCTTACTGTTTTAAATAATGTAAGTTTATTAAGTACTGGAAAAATGAAAGTATAATGTAGCTTTTTAAAATGTTATACATTATTTGTATGATGAGACGTTAGTGCATCCTGATTAACCTTATTCCATCTGATTCATTCTACCTTATCCCATTCCCTGCATATTAAAACCATCTCAGAAGTATTCTGTACATGTAAACAAACTACTATGACCATATTCATTCTAAGTTCATTGTTAGTCTTCCTCTCTCCCACTGTTAGCCACACCCTCAACTGAGCTTGTTTTACTTTATTATTTTTCCCCACCAAGTGGTTTCATGTGATATTTCAGACATGCATATATTTTATTCAGAATAACCCTCTCAATTGCTTTTTCCTTCTTGCCCAAAAGAATAATGAATTAGGTTTAAAAATTATCTGTGGCCACATTTTTTTATTTTATTTATTTTTTTGTCGGTTGTGGGCTTGAATTCTGGGGCCAGGCACTGTCCTTCAGCTCTTCAGCTCAAGGCAAGTGCTCTACTGCTTGAGCCACAGTGTATAGCCACAATTTTGATAGAGTGAAATTTTTAATTGCTTTTGTCAAATACAGAGTGAGGGGGCTGGAAAGGTAGTTCAGTGGTAGAGTGCTTGCCTAGCATGCATGAATCCCTGGGTTCCATTCCTCAGTACCACATAAACAGAAAAAGTGGCACTGTGGTTCAAGTGGTAGAGTGCTATTCTTGAGCTGAAGAGCTGAGGTACAGTGCCCAGGCCCAGAGTTTAAGCCCCACAACTGACAAAAAGAAAGAAATGAGTGAATATTAGTTAGTATTTATTTCTCTAACCTTTAAGATACATAGATACTTTAAACCAATTGAGTCAAATAAGTCAAATCTCTATATTACAGTGTTTATGTGTGTAAACTACTTTTCCTTAAGAGTTAACATAATTCCTGCTCTAAGTTCCTAAATTACATAAAATAGAATAATTCTATAACCCTTATTTTATAGTTTTCTACCTAAATTGTATGCATAAAATTTGTCAACAAAAAGTTTAGGAAGTTCATATGAATATTTGGCAGGTGTTTAATTACCTTATTTTTCCTTCTATCTTTAATCTACCTTGAATATCTTTTAATTTATTAAAAATTTTCCTGCCATTACTGGTGGCTCATGTCTAGATTAGGAGGCTGAGATCTAGGATTGTGGTTCAAAGCCAGCCCTGGCAGGAAAGTCCATTAGACTCTTATCTTTTTAATCACCAAAAAGCTAGAAATGGAGCTATGGCTCAAGTGGTAAAGTGCTAGCCTTGAGCAAAAAGCTCAGAGACAGCATCCAACTGAGTTTCAAGTCCCAGGACTGGTTTTTAAAATAAAAGAAAGTTTTCTTGTATGTTAATGAAGAAAATATTTTTTCATGTTTCAGAGTTTTGACATTATAATTTTTGGGGGGAGGGGGGTCCGGTCGTGGGGCCTGAACTCTGGGTCTGGGAACTGTCCCTCAGCTCTTCAGCTCAAGGCTAGCATTCTACCATTTGAGCCACATTGCCACTTCCGGCTTTTTTCTTTTTGCTTATGTGGTGCTGAGGAATTGAACCCAGGGCCTCAGGCATGCAAGGCAAGCACTCTACCACTGAGCCTCCTTCCCAACCCGACATTGTAATTTTTATATTAATATTTATATGTGATTATAAACTTTAAAATCTTAAAGTTTATTTTAACTTCAATGAATCTTTTCATTTGAGAGGTTTACCATTTATCTTTATTCCATTTACTAAAATCCTAGTTATGAATTTATATTCATAACATCACATCTGTGAGCTCTTGGTTTTTTTCTCATAATGAAGTAAATCCTATAAAAAGGGAAATATTCATTTTCACATAACAAGGAATCATTGTGCATATTTGGAAAACACTGACTTAGCAGTGTATTTGCTGACTGCCTTATAACATTGAAGAAAGGAAAAACCTATATGCTAGTTACAGGCTGCTGACCATACAGTGAATTTTTGTGACAGATTGATTCGTAATTTTACTCAAGTTGTATTAATGATTTGAAAAGTGATGTAAATATATTTTATTCCGTGAATTTCTGATAAATTTAACCAATTCCATAAAAACTTCTTTGTTCTTTCTACTTTTTGTTTTTAGAGCATGGATTTGGATATGAAGCAAGATTGTAGTCAACTGGTAGAAAGAATAAATGTTTTCAAAACAGCCTTTAGTGAAAATGAAGATGATGAAAGGTAAAAACCAGGGCCTGGGAGATTACATTAATGTGCTTATTAGCATATATAAGGCCCTTGGTTCAATCCCCAGCACCCAAGTCAAAACATAAACCCCAAATTTGATTAAATTTGATGTTTGAAATATTTTCAGTTTGCATACTTCCCTAAAATAACTGTTTATACACATGAAAGGAACTCTTAATTTTTATTGAGTTGTTTTATATGAGTTAAAATAAGAGTTATTTTATTCAAAGCTCATAAATGTATTAGGGAACATTTTGAAAATTCTTTTAGTCTGATGGAATAAAACAGTTTAAATAACCACATGTTTGGTATGAATATAGCTGATCCCTTACTGTTAAGCACCTGTTTCTTTAAGACAAAAGTGAGCTACGTAGGGCGTTTGAAGCCAGCTTGAGCTAGTGAGACTTTCAGAAAGCCACAATATAGTTGAAAATGTGAACACTGGCTAACTTTAATTTGAAGCTATTAAGTAATCATTTTTAATTCTATTTTATGTGATAAAGATACTAGTTTTTAATTCTGGACGAAATGATATGCATCATTTTCTTTAAAATATAGGGGAGAAGGGTAACTGTTGCAAAGAATTTGTCTAGCTAGATGTTGGTGGTTCACACTTATAATCTTAGCTACTCAGGAGGATAAGCGTTGGGGGATCATGGTTTGACTCAACATTCCATGTTGAGTCATGTTAACCAGCAAAAAATGCTAGACTGCTGGTATTTCTCGAGTGTAGCACCCCAGCCAGAAACACAAAAGCAGAGCCAGTTCATGTCCCAATACCAGCACAAATATATAGAGAAAAAATAGATTGACATGCTAGGGCAGTGGCTCACAATGTAATCCTTGCTATTTGGAAGAGTGAGATCAGGAAGATCACTGTTTGAGGACAACTTGTGGAAAAGTTCGCCAGATCCCATCTCAGCCAGTAAAAAATGGTAGTATACCTTTATTCTAGCTAAATAAGAAGATGGAATTGTAGTTCAAGCTGCAGCAAAAAGAGCCTACTGCAAAATGAAATTTTGAAAGACTGAGGGTCTGGCTGATAAGGTAGAGCACTTGTCTAGCAAGTACAAGGCCCTAACTTGAAGCCTACTACTATCCTGCCCCCTCTCCAAAAAAAAAAAGTAACAAGAAAAATAATAGACCAGCCTTTCGGATTGAATTGCTGAAGCTGGGTCTTAGTATATTATACTAGTTTGCCTACTTTTTGAGGCTGTAAGGCTTATTGGAGGTACTATAAATTTTATAATAGTACTCGGGAGCCATGCTCCCAGCCCTTTTAGCTCTGCTTATTTTTATGAATGTGTCTTGCTTGTTGTATGTATACACACATGAGCATGCATGTACCAGTCTTGGGGCTTGATCACAGGTGCTGTCCCTCAGTATTTGTGCTCAAGGCTAGCATTCTACCAATGGGGCCACAGCTCTACTTCCAACTTTTGGGTGGTTAATTGGAGATTAGAGTGTAAAGGACTTTACTGCCCAGGCTGGCTTAGATCTTAGCATCTCAGATCTTAACATCTTGAGTAATTAGAATTTCAGTTATGAGGTACCGGTGCTCCTCAGGGTCATCTTTCTTTAATCCCAGCTTCTATCTATTGAGATGGAATCTCATGGACTTTTCTGCCCATGCTGGCATGGAATCTCTATCTGATCTCAGCCTCCTACATAACTAGGATCACACATATATGCCCTTGTATCCAGATAGTGGTTGAGATGGGTCTTACAAACTTTTTGCCCAGGCTGTGTTCAAACCCTGGTCCTTGTAATCTCTATAGCTATGATTAGAGGCACCAGGCACTTCACCTGGCTCAAATTTTTCTATAAGTAAAATCCAAGTAGCTTGATTTCTAATGAGTACTTAATGTCTGTCTGTATCTATTTATTTGTCTATCTTATTTTGGTAGTACTACTTCTTGAGCCACATCCACAGCCCTTTTATATATTTTGTCTCTGAGGTAGGATTTCTGAGGGATAAACTTGAATTTGTTATCTGTAAGTCTCTGATTCATGAGTAGTGAGATTAGAAGTATGTGATCACACCTAACCTATTATATCTTTGTGGATAGTATTTATTGAAATTATACTATATTAAACATTTTGGCACTTTGGAAGTGATTACTAGTAGTATTTAAATATACTTGTCTTTATGGAAACATCTTTTTACATAATTTCCTTAAGTGGAATGATTGTGTTATAGAGGTTTTTAAATTTTCCAGTTACTTCCCCAAAAATGCTATGTGCATTTACATTTTGATATACTATCAAATATTTTCTTTCTTAAAACTTTGCTGCTTTATATTCTTTTTTGGGGGGGAGGGGGCCGGTCGTGGGGCCTGAACTCTGGGCCTGGGTGCTGTCCCTCAGCTCTTCAGCTCAACCACTTGAGCCACAGTGCCACTTCCGGCTTTTTTTTTCTTTGCTTATGTGGTGCTGAGGAATTGAACCCAGGGCCTCATGCATGCAAGGCAAGCGCTCTACCACTGAGCCACCTTCCCAGCCCTCCATTATATTCTTTTTATGCAACAAATATTATAAACTTGTTTAAATGTTAAAGTTTATCTGCATTGAGTGTAATTGCTAATTTTAAATTATAAAAATAAAATATTCCTAAGTGAAGTAAACTGTTATGAGTATCTTTGACTATTCAGTACTAGTCTATGCCAAAATTGTTTCTTTGCATTTTGGAAGAAAGTAGAACACTATGTTAGGTTGTTTATTGCAGTTCTTCATGAACATTATTGTAATTATGCAAAGTTAACTACTTTTTCTTCACAGTCGACCAGCAGTTGCGTTAATTCGAAAGTTAATAGCAGTACTAGAATCAATTGAACGATTACCTCTCCATTTATACGATACACCAGGATCTACATATAACCTCCAGGTAATTATGCAGAGTGGTAGCTAGTATTAGTGAATGCACATAGGAACAATGATTTGCTTTTCTTGTTTTTAAAAAGTCTTTTTTTTCTGGTGCTAGTACTGTACTGGGGCTTAAACTCAAGGCCTGTGGTTGTTTTTTTTTTTTGGCCAGTCGTGGGGCTTGAACTCTGGGCCTGCATGCTGTCCCTCAGCTCTTCACCTTAAGGCTAGTGCTCTACCACTTGAGCCACATTGCCACTTCCTGTTTTCTGGTGATTAATTGGAGATAAAAGTCTCATGGATTTTCCTGCCTGGGCTGGCTTTGAACTGTGATCCATAGAGCTCAGCCTCCTGAGTAGCTAGAATTATTGTCATAAACCTCTGATGCCCAGCTTTTTTTTTTTTTTTTTTTTAATTCTAGTTCTGGGGTTTGAACCCAGGACCTGGGCACTGTCCCTAAGCTTTTTGCTCAAGGCTAGCACTCTACCCTTGTACCACAACTCTACTTTCTGCTTTTTTTCTTAGTTAATTGGAGATTAGTCTCAAAGACTTTCCTGCCCTATCTGGCTTTGAACTAGGATCCTCAGAACTTAGACTCTTGAGTAGCTGGGATTATAAACCTGACCATCACCTGGCTTGATCCTCATAAGTGAATGAGTTGGAGAATAGTCTAAAAGACTGGTAATTCTCTTGCTTATATGGTCCTGGGAACACCAGCATCTTCTATTATGCATGTTTTATTTAAGGAGATTATACAAGATCCCCAAATAGAAAGACCAGGAATGTGCCCTCTGGTCATTTTGTAGTCTAAAATGATATCAAAGGACACATAAATATTTAAGTATGCTTGTATAGGGACTAGGTCTGTATGTAAGATTTATATAGAAATGAAGCTTACTGAAGTGACATTTTGTTTTTGTTGCTCACTAAAATGTACTGAAGTAAGAAATTTTATATTTAAAAAACTGATTATAGATCCAATAATCTGACTTTAAGCTACTTTAAATTAACTGACTTTACTTTTTAAAAACTTTTCCTGAAAAATTATGAGTAAAAAATTCAAGATAAAACATTTCTGTTAGTGTTATAGTATACCTTTATTTAAGTTACATATATTTGAAGTTACTTAGAAACTTCAGCGTGTGTGTGTGTGTGTGTGTCACTGGGGTTTGAACTCAGGTCCTCACATTTAACATGTCCACCATACTACTTAAGCCATATCTGCAGCCCTTGTTTTTGGTGGTAGGCTTTATCATTTATTCAGTGGACCTTTTCAGGTGCCGTCCTTGAGTGTTTTTCCTCAGACCTATTGCCCTTGGGCCATAGCTTTACTTCTGATAGTGAACCTATATGCATACATACGTGTATGTGTGTCTGTCTGTCTGTACTGGTGGCTCATACCTGTAATCCTAGCTTTTCAGGATGCTGAGATCTGAGGATTGCAGTTCGAAGTGGCACAGGCAGGATAGTCCATGAGACTCTTACCTCCAATTAACCACCAGAAAACTGGAAGTGGCACTGTGGCTCAAAGTGATACAGTGCTAGCTAGCCTTGAGCTTTTTAAAAAGCTCCGGGATAGCACCTAGGCCCTGAATTCAAGCCCATGACCAGAGAAGGGTACACACACACACACACACATATACACGCACACACGATTGCTTATCCCATTATGATTATGCTTCATAAATCTCAGTTGTTGTGGTTATTTCATGTGTATCATTTTTACACTTCTCAAAAAAAGGAAATGTGTTTTATAAAGATTATCATTTTCATGCAGATACTTACAAGGAGATTGCGTTTTCGTTTGGAACGTGCACCTGGTGAAACTGCACTGATTGATCGGACTGGCAGAATGTTGAAGATGGAACCATTAGCTACTGTTGAATCTCTAGAACAGTATCTCTTGAAGATGGTGAGTTTCTGTCTGGCAAGGGCATAGTGTATTATTTACACTTGCTCCTTTTTGGACCATTAATGTTTTTCTCTACCATTATTTGTGTTTGTTTGCTTTTTTTTTTTTTTTTTGGTATTACTGGGATTTGAACTTGGTGTCTTACAATTAGTAGGCTGACATTTCATCACTTCAACCACACCTTCTGCATGTATGCAGTAGTGCTAGGGCTTGAACTCTGGACTTCTGGTTCTTGGCTTTCTTTTTGTTCCCCATCTTGAACTCAGGTCCTGGGTGCTATCCCTGAGCTTTTCTACTCAAAGCTAGTGCTCTACCACTTAAGCCACAGCTGTATACTGCTGATTTTTTTGGGGTAGTTAAATATAAATAAGAATTTTAGGAACTTTCCTGTCCAGGCTGGCTTTCGAACTATGATCATCAGATCTCAGCTTCCTGAGTAGTTAGGATTACAGACATAAGCCACCAGCACCCATCTCTTTTCTTGGTTTTCTTGCTTAAGGATGGTGCTCTGCCACTTGATCCTCGCCCCTAGGGTTTTTGCTGGTTAACTCAATATAAGTCTCATGGACGTTTTTGCATAGGTTCGCTTCAAAGTGCATTCCTCAGATCTAAGCCTCCTGAGTAGCTAGGACTATAGGCATGAGCCATTGGCTTATAGGCATGAGCCATTGGCACCTGGCTAGGTATTAGATTTGAAATTGGGGCTTAAACCTTCTTGGTTGGCTTTCTACCATTTGAGCCACATCACCAGTCTGTCCTTTCGCTGGTTAGTTTGAAGGTAGAGTCTCACCAACATTTTTTTTTGGACCAACTTTGAACCTCAATTCTTTGGATCCCAGCCTTCTGAATTATGATTACAGGGTTTGGGCCAGTGAGGCTTGGTCCAATAAATCCACTGTTGGGAATATATTTGTATATGTTTTGTAAAACAATGTTATATAATCTAAATATCTTTTTTTTTTCTTTTTGGTCATGGGGCTTGAACTTGAGCTGAGTGCTGTCTCAGCTCTTTTTTTTTTTTTTGGTCATGGGACTTGAACTTGAGCTGAGTACTGTCTCAGCTTTTTTTGTTGTTGTTGTTGGTCATGGGGCTTGAACTCTGGGCCTGAGCACTTTACCTCAGCTCTTCAGCTCAAGGCGAGCACTCTATCACTTGAGCTACATGTAGCGCCACTTGCAGTTTTTTGGTCGTTTATTGGAGATAAGAGTTTCACGGACTTTCTTGCCTGGGCTGGCTTTGAACCGAGATCCTCAGATCTCAGCCTCCTGAGTAGCTAGGATTACAGGCGTGAGCCACCAGCGCCTGGCTCCCTCAACTCTTTGAGCTTAAGGCTAGCACTCCGCTAATTGAGGCACAGTGCCACTTCTGGTTTTCTGGTGGTTTATTGGAGATAAGAATTTCATGGCCTTATATACCTAGGCTGGCTTTGAACCACAATTCTCAGATCTCAGCCTCCTGAGTAGCCAGGATTACAGGCATGAGCCACCAATGCCTAGTATTTATTGTAATTACTTATATCGTTTAAAAATACCTAAATAATAAAGGAATAATTAAAGAGTAATTTATGCATCTTTAGGGCCTTACCTTCCCTGCTGTTTTGCTGATGGCACTCTACTACTTTAGCTATACTTTCAGTCTTGCTTTTTGCTGGTTAATTGGAAATCAAGTCTCAAGGACTGCATAGGATGAGTTCAAACCTGAATCTTCACGTCTCAGTCACTTGCCTAGCTAGAATTACAAGTATGAGGCAACAGTCCCTGGCAGATAGTTTATTTTTATTTAAAGTTTTTTTTTTTAATTTAATAGGCAGATTTAACAGTTAACAGCTTTAATCTTTTGCTGTTGTTTGGTACAGGGATTTTTTTAAAAAATGGAAGAGGATAATTTTTTTTATTTTAATTTTTTTGTTTTGCTTTTTCTGTGCTGCTTCTGGGTCTTGAGCTCAGGACCTGCATTTTTTCTGAGCTCTTTTCCTCAAAGCTAGCACTCTACCACTTGAGCCACAGCTTTTCACTTTCAGCTTTTTGGTGGTTAATTGCAGCTAAGAGTTTCATTGACTTTCCTTTGTGGTTTTAAACCATGATCCTCAGATCTTAGCTTCCTAAGTAGCTGGGATTACAGGCAAGAGGCACCAGTTCCTGGTTTTTAAATATTTTTAATGAACAGTTCTAATAATAATTGACCTTAAGAAATGAGAAAAATGGTGTTAAATGCTTTTAAAATAACATTATTAAAAAGACTGTCTTGTATGTTTTTTTGGTTTAGGTAGCAAAACAGTGGTATGATTTTGACCGATCTTCATTTGTTTTTGTTCGAAAACTCAGAGAAGGCCAAAATTTCATATTTAGACACCAGCATGATTTTGATGAAAATGGAATCATTTACTGGATTGGGACAAATGCAAAGTAAGTCTTTCTGTTAGGTGACATTATTCACCTGAAAATTAATTCTAGGTAGTAATAAAATTATTAGCTGCTCTTAGGTAGTTTAAGGAATTTCATAAAATTAAATTTTTTAATAGAGAAAACAATGCCTTAAGTTGTTAACTGTAGAATTTTACTTACAGTAATATAATTTATTTTTTTGCCAGTCCTGAGGCTTGAACTCAGAACCTTGGCACTGTCCCTGAACTTCTTTTGCTCAAGGCTAGCACTATACCATTTGATCCACAGCACTACTTCTGGCCTTTTCTGTTTATATGGTACTAAGGAATCAAACCCAGGGCTTAATGGATGCTAGGCAAGCACTCTACCACTAAGTCATTTTTCCAGCCCTAGTAATATAACTAATACGAATTATTGGTATTGCTTTAACATTGTTCATATTTTCTATTTTTCTTATTTTTGTGCAGAACTGCGTATGAATGGGTTAATCCTGCTGCCTATGGACTTGTAGTAGTAACATCATCAGAAGGAAGAAATTTACCATATGGTCGATTGGAAGATATACTAAGTCGTGATAATTCAGCTTTAAATTGTCATAGCAATGATGATAAGAATGCCTGGTTTGCTATAGATCTGGGTCTCTGGGTGATACCATCAGCGTATACACTTCGCCATGCTCGTGGTTATGGAAGATCTGCACTGAGAAATTGGGTTTTCCAGGTATCCAAAGATGGACAGAACTGGACTTCTTTGTATACCCATGTTGATGACTGCAGTCTCAATGAACCAGGGTTAGTTGTGGTGTCTTTGAAAAATTGGGAAACTCAGTAAAAGGTTTATCTCTTCTTTAAGAAATACTGTAACATCCATATTTTTTCTGAAGTGAATTTATTTTCTCTGTAGTTTAAGCACTAAAATCCAGAAATACTAACTACGAAATTTTGTCAAACAGTTAAATATTTACAGAAAGTTGAGCATATTTGTTTTAGGACTATATGTGTATGGATAGTACACAAATGGGAAGTAAAATATGAAATTAGCTCTTTATAGTTCTCCATCTAGTCACAGATAATGAGTATTTGACAGATCGATAATGACTATTCTTAGTGAAATTATTTCTAACTTAAAATTTTTTATATATCACTTGGAAAATTCTACATATTGGCCACATACGCATGCATACACACACACACACAGACACACACATGCGCACACACATACATATCTATATGCATTCTTGTTTTGCTTGGAATCAAATTACGTGCTTCCTCTGCCTTACACATGCCAGATAACCATATTACTACTGAGCTATATCCCAGCTCCGTAATAATAATGTTATTAACATATTAATATTACTTCATGTTTTCTTTTGTTTTGTGGGGCTTGAACTCTTGGCCTGGGTGTTGTCTCTGAGCTCTTCAACTTAAGGCCAGCACTCTACCATTTGAGCCATAGGCCCACTTCAGGTGGTTAATTGGAGATAATGTCTCATGGACTTTCCGAAATGCCCAGGCTGGCTTTGAACCTTGATCCTCATATCTCAGCCTCCTAAGTAGCTAGGATTGCAGGCATGAGCCATCAGCACTGGCTTATTTCAAGTTTTAAGTGTACAAAATGGCCTTTTTTGTTGTCCTGGGTACTGTCTCTGACCTTTTGCTCAAGGCTAGTGCTCTACCACTTCACCCATTGTTCCACTTCCAGCTTTTTATTAGGTGGTTTATTGGAGACCTGCTTGGACTGACTTCAGATCATACCTCCTGAATGATAGGATTATAGGTGTGAGCCACAGGCTTACTAGGCAAACACTCTACCTACCACTTGAGTCATGTATCTAGCCCATTTTACTTTAGCTGAGAACTCATTATGGCATATTTCAAGGACAGATTATACAATTAAATTATGAAAAGAACTCTTTTTTTTTTCTTTTTCCTTTTTTTGCAGGGCCAGGGTTAGTACTCAGGGCCTGGGCTCTGACCCTGAGCCTCTTCATGCTCAGGGCTAGTGCTCTACCACTTGTACCACAGCACCACTTCAGCTTTTTCTGTTTATGTGGTACTGAGGAATTGGATCCAGGGTTTCATGCGTGCTAGGCAAAGACTCCACTACCACTAAGCCACATTCTTAGCTCTGAAGGGAACTTTCTATCATTAAGATTATTAGGCAATATTCTATAGCTTTACATCTTTGGCAGTATTAGATTTGAACTCAGGACCTCACACTTGTTTGACTTGTGTGGCTGGTGGTGTAACACTTACTTAGGCCATGCTTCTCTTCTGCTTTTAGTTATTTTAATGATGGAATCTCCTGGCCTCATTTCTCCATGATACAGCTTCCTGAGTAGCTAGGCTTATAAGCATGAACCACTGGCATCAAGGTGTCCTCAAGGTTTTTAAGCTTTAAAATTTAAAATTTTTAATATATCATTTAATACTTCTCATGAGTTTTAAAAAAATTTCATCATTAAAGTATGTTTTATTTGCAAACTGACTTTCAGTATTAATCTTGTCATTTAATGTAATCAAATGCATACTTAAACATTTCATTTTATTTGTTGCCTTCACTTTTTTTCCACATTTGTTTCTTGATCTTTAAATTACTGAGTGCATATGGAACGTTTTCCTAAAGTTCTTTTATATAAGTAATGTGTCCTGCTTTGAAAACCTTTTCATCCTGTATTTAAAAGCATTATTTTTTTCTTAATTACATGTATAGATCAACTGCAACCTGGCCTCTTGATCCACCAAAGGATGAAAAGCAAGGGTGGCGACATGTGAGAATTAAACAGATGGGGAAGAATGCTAGTGGTCAAACACACTACCTCTCACTATCTGGATTTGAACTTTATGGCACTGTGAATGGAGTATGTGAAGATCAACTAGGTAAAGAGAGGATATGGCCACTTTCCAACTTACGAAAACAATTAGATTTTATTTTTAACACATGATTTGGTTTATATTGCTCTGTTACAGGGAAAGCAGCTAAGGAGGCAGAAGCTAATCTTAGAAGACAGAGACGTTTAGTACGCTCACAAGTTCTGAAATACATGGTTCCAGGTGCACGTGTTATCAGAGGCCTTGATTGGAAATGGCGAGATCAAGATGGCAGCCCTCAAGGAGAAGGCACTGTCACAGGAGAATTACATAATGGTGAGTAGGTACTTAGCACTTGTACTGTTGGACGCCAAATACTTAAATGGGTTTTTCTTATATAAATATCTCAGGACTGTATGTAAGAATTGTTAGTGGTTTTATATTAGGCTGAAGGGGGGAAAAAAACCTTAGAAATTAGAGACTTTTATTTATTTATTTATTTATTTTGTCGATCATGGGCCTGAACTCTGGGCCTGGGCTCTGTCCCTGAGCTCTTTAGCTCAAGGCTAGTGCTCTACCACTTGAGCCACAGCCCCACTTCTAGCTTTTTCTGCTTATGTGGTGTTGGGGAATTGAACCCAGGGTCTTATGCATGCAAGGAAAGCACTCTACCACTGAGCCACCTTCCCAGCCCTTAATTCTTTATTTTTCTTTCTTTCTTTATTTGTTGGTTTGTTATGGAGCTCCAGCTCTGGGCTTGGGGGCTTGGGCTCTGTCCCTGAGCTCCTTTTTGCTCAAAGCTAGCACTCTCCCACTTGAGCCATAATGCCACTTCCTGCTTTTTCTGTGTTTAATTGGAAGCTCAAGGACTTCCCTGCCTTGGCTAGCTTCCAACCACAATGCTCAGATCTCAATCTCCTGAGTAGCCAGGATTGCAGGCGTGAGCCACTGGTACCTAGCTTGATTCTTTTTTTTTTTTTCTTCTAGAAGCAATAATATTTTAAAGGGTTATCGCTGTGTCTTTGAGACATTTTCTCCTGTTACTGGGCAGAGATAGTATCATCGCTTGTTATATGTTTGGCAAATGCTGTGCCTATCCTTTTATTTTTCATTTGTTTATTTTTTATTTTTTGGATCCAGTCCTGGGGCCTGAACTCTGGGCCTGGGTGCTGTCCCTCAGTTAGTTCTTCAGCTCAAGGATAACACTCTACCACTTGAGCCACAGCGCCACTTCCGATTTTTTTCTTTTTGGTGCTGAGGAATCGAATCCAGGGCCTCATGCATGCAAGGCAAGCACTCTAACACTGAGCCACCTTCCCAGCCCCTGTTCTTTTATTTTTGTTTTTGAGATAGTCTCAAAATTTTGCCTGGGGTACAGTTAAATTTGTATTCCTCTTGGCTCTAAGATCTTTATCTGTGAGGATTACAGGTGTCCACCAGCAAGCATTTTTTTTTTTAACATGTATTTGGTAGTACTGTTATTTTTTTTTGTCGGGGGGGGGTGGGGGGAGGTGGACAGGTTCTAACTGATTATGCCCAAGCTTGTCTTGAACTAATGATCCTGCCTCAGCTTCCTGAGTGCTAAGATTTTAATTTTATTTTGTCTTGTTACTTTTACTGCATACTAAAGGTATTTTTTACTGTATGTTAAAGGCATTCTTAAGGAAAAGGATTGTTTATACTTATTTTTTATTAAAGCATGGAATAACAAATGGCCTTTCAAGTTTTTGTTTTTTTTTTGGGGGGGTTCCGGTCGTGGGGCTTGAACTCTGGGCCTGGGCGCTGTCCCTGAGCTCTTCAGCTCAAGGCTAGCACTCTACCACTTGAGTCACAGCGCCACTTCCAGCTTTTTTCTTTTTGCTTATGTGGTGCTGAGGAATTGAACCCAGGGCCTCAGGCATGCAAGGCAAGTGCTCTACCACTGAGCCACCTTCCCAGCCCAAAAATCAAGTTTTTAACCTTTGAAATAATATGAAGTTTAGCAGAGTCCTTACCCATTTAATTTTCAAAACTTTTTTTTAGCATTAATGAGGTTTGAACTAACAGAGGCATTTGTTAAGCAGTTATTCTGCTGTTCGAATCACAACATCTTCAACACATTTTTTTTTATATTAATGAGGTTTGAACTAACAGTCTAGCATTTGTTAAGCAAGTATTCTGCTATTTGAATCACAACATCTTCACCCCTGCAATTTACTAATTGCTACTGATATCATGGTTATTTTTATCATAACTAAAAAACTGATTTGGTGGCAAGTAATTTGCCTGAACCTTAATGGTTTTATGCCTGTCCATTTTTCCTAGCTTTTTATTTTTTTGTCAGTCATAGGGCTTGAATTCGGCCTGGGCACTGTCCCTGAGCTCTTAAGCTCAATGTGAGTGCTCTACCGCTTGAGCCACAGTGTCACTCTCAGTTTTCTGGCAGTTAATTGGAGATAAGAGTCTCACGGAGGGGCTGGGAAAGTGGCTCAGCGGTAGAGTGCTTGCCTTGTAGGCATGAGGCCCTGGGTTAGATTCCTCAGCACCACATAAGCAGAAAAAGCCAGAAGTGGTACTGTGGCTCAAGTGGTAGAGTGCTATCCTTGAGCTGAAGGACTGAGGGACAGTGCCCAGGCCCACAGTTCAGGCCCCATAACCGACCATAAAAACAAAAACAAAAAAAGTCTCATGGACTTTCCCACCCAGGCTGGCTTTGAACTGCAATCCTCAGATCTCAGTCTCCTGAGTAGCTGGGATTACAGGCATGAGCGAGCCACTGGCACCCAGCTAATTTTTTCCTAGCTTTAAAAAAAAGAAACATGTCATAATCTCAGTTTTTACCAAGTTATCAAAGTTTCATAATAAAAAGGACAGTGCTTAGAGAATAATTAACAATTATGGTAATTGTATATTATCACAATATATTTAATTTCAAGTGATAAACAGTTATCTAAATAAACCCTTTGATTTTACTTGGGCACTGTCCCTGAGCCTCTTTCTGCTAAGGGCTAGCACTCTTATTTGAGCCACAGTGCCACTTCCAGTCTTTTCTGAGTAATTTATTGGAGATGAGAGTCTCACAGACTTTTCTGCCTGGGCTGGCTTCAACTACAGTCCTCAGATCTCAGCCTCCTCAGTAGCTAGGATTACAGGCATGAGCTACTAGCACCCAGCTGATTTTATTGCTTTTTAGGTTTGTGTTCCTTTACCACATTACTAAATGTATTTCTGTATCATTGAATTCTGCTTGAAATTATTGATAATTCCAAGCAGGTTTATAATAAGACAAAAATTATAAACATTAATAAAGGTTGAGATGAAAATAGTACTATTCAGTGCAAATTTAGAGTATTACTCAATATTTATAAGTTGATAGTCTATCTGAAATTGTTTTGACATATGTGACTTAAGATGAAGCTAATTAGGGATATAGGAATATAATTAATTTTTACTCTGGATAGAATCTTAATTTCAGAATCTATATTCAGGAAAGGGCTGCTTTTACCGATCTTAAAAATGTAGAGATTCAGCCAGTGGCTCACGAGGAGATCTGAGAATCGTGGTTCAAAGCCAGCCTAGGCAGGAAAGTCTGTGAGACTCTTATCTCCAGTTAACCACTCGAGCCTTGTGGCTCAAGTGATAAAGAGTACTCACCTTGAGCTGAAGAGCTCAGGGACAGCAGCCCAGGCATAGTTCAAGCCCCATGACTGACCCCCAAAAGAAAAAAAAGAAGAAGAGATTGAAGCCAAGAGCCAGTGGCTCACGCCTGTAATCCCAGATACGCAGGAGGCTGAGGATGTGGTTTCAGCTAGCCTGGGAGAAAAGTTCTGTGAGACTTACCTCCAGTTAACCACCCCTCCCCACCCCCCAAAAAAAGCCAAAAGTAGAGCTGTGACTCAGGTGGTAGAGCACTATCCTTAAGCTCAGAGACAGTATCCAGGCCCTGATGTCAAGTCCAGGACTGGCACAAAAAAAAAACCCAAACTAAAAGTTTTTACATAATATTGAATGTTAGAGAATGTTCTAAACTTTAAAATATTTATGCCAACCAATTTTCAATAATGCCTATGTTTTTTTTTTTTTTTTTTTTACTAACTCTAACTGATTTTTACTGAAGTCTTTCAGTTTTAGGGACACAGGAGGAGTTGAGAGTTTTGTATTTGTAGACTTAGTTGTACTTTGTATTTGCCCTTTCTTGTTTCTACCAGGTTTGAAATACCAGTTTAAAGACAATCTTAGACCTTATTTAAGCAATTTATATTCTTAGTATTTTTTTCCATGTTATATCAGTTATATCTGTTTCCTTCCTGAAGAGTCTGTAGTACTAGAACTATCCATTTATTCATCTGTTGCACAAATATAAAAGCGACTTTGTTAAAAGTCATATTCAGTGGGTAAGGACAACTCTTTTATTGGTAAAACAAGAATATAAGTACAGATTTTGGTAAGTGTTCTAAAATAAGTTATCAGCATGTTTTGGGGCCAATTATTGCTATGTAGAACTCAGTTTTATTTGGGATTGGGATGTGTTTTGAAACTTACCTTTTTTCAGACTTTTTTATGTAGCACAAGAGATAGTAAAATGTTGGTTCTTCAGAGGTTATTTCAGCATTCAGAATAAATTGAAGCAATTGAAATCGCATCTAACCTACTTAATATAGATTTGGGGCAGTCAGTTTTCCTTTGAAAGAACTCACATGCAGATAATCCCTGCAGGTAATTCACTATTACACCCCTATCTCTGAGCTTCATCTTGAACATATATGAACTGTGTGTATGGGTGGCTGTGTGATTTAATATGTCAGTGCATGTGTATGCTAGAATTCACACCTGTGTATGTGTGGGTAAAGTACTTTTCAGCTTATGAAAGCTTGTTATACTTTATAAGTAATTTTTTAAATGTGTTGTGTTCTGGAATAGATAGCTAGCTTATAACACGAAGGTCTCTATTAACTTACTTTCTAATAGGCAGTTTCTTTTTTGCTCTTGGAATTTTATTTTCTTTTCTTTAAAAAAGAGTACAATTTTCTAATTACAAATAAATATAGATTAAATGTCGGTATGCTTATTAGTTCTTTACATGTTATTAGCTTTAGTATATAGGTTCCAATAAAAGAACTTCGCATGCTTTTCCCCTTTTGTTTACATTTTTTCTGTCCTTAACCAAATTTATTACACTTAATTTTAAGAAAATCAAATAACCATTGAACTTTGAGAACACAACTGAAATGCTAACTTAATATTTTATTTGAGCTAACCTAGACTTCCTACAAGTCATATATGAATATCTGTATTTAGAGGGTTTCTAAGGTCCAACCTTAGAAATCATTCTAATCTGACATTTTTAGAGGAATTTTTATTTTTTAGCAATTTTTAAACTTTCATTTTCTCGTTGAAGTTGAATAGGCATTTTTAAGTTTTGAAAACATTCTTTTAGGATCTGGGAATGTAGTTTCATGTTAAGTAGTTGTCTAGTAATGTTTAAAGACTTAGGTTGAATCCCTAACTATGAAAAAAAAAGGAGAAAAACAAGTCCACTTAAAATGTAGTATTACAAATGTAAATTTGATCCTTATATTGTTTCTAAATATCACTAGTTGTAAACAGGTCAGAAATACATAAAATAAATGGGAGATTTAATTTTAGATGTTTTCCAGAAATGTTGTGTACAATTCAAATATTTTTTTCATGTATGTGAGAGTTAAATAACACAGAGCATAAGATAGCAAGAATAGCCATATAGGTTCAGTATTTCACACTGATCAGTCCAAACTTTATTTTGGTTGGCAGAAATTAAATTACTATAGAAACTCAGAGAAATACAGCACAGATGAAAAGCTGATCCCATATTGTGGAGCTACTGTCTAACACGCTCCTATCTGCTTTCTGCTGGGTCTCACAAACTCCTGTCCCTTTCCAGGCTGGATTGATGTCACCTGGGATGCTGGTGGCTCAAACTCTTACCGTATGGGCGCAGAAGGAAAATTTGACCTCAAGCTTGCACCAGGGTACGACCCTGATACAGTGGCATCACCCAAACCTGTTTCATCCACTGTTTCAGGCACAACGCAATCATGGAGCAGCTTGGTGAAAAACAACTGTCCTGACAAGACATCTGCTGCTGCAGGCTCCTCAAGTAGAAAAGGAAGCAGCAGTTCTGTGTGTAGCGTGGCCAGTAGCAGCGACATCAGCTTGGGTTCGACCAAAACGGAACGGAGATCAGAAATTGTAATGGAACACAGTATAGTTTCAGGAGCTGATGTCCATGAACCAATTGTTGTTCTTTCATCTGCTGAAAACGTCCCTCAAACAGAAGTAGGGTCATCTTCCAGTGCAAGCACCAGCACCTTAACAGCGGAAACGGGAAGTGAAAATGTTGAAAGGAAGTTAGGCCCTGATAGTTCTGTTCGTACTCCTGGGGAGTCTAGTGCAATATCCATGGGAATTGTTAGTGTTAGTTCTCCTGACGTTAGTTCAGTATCTGAATTAACTAATAAAGAAGCAGCTTCACAACGACCTCTTAGCTCTTCAGCAAGTAACAGACTGTCAGTGAGTTCTTTGTTGGCTGCTGGGGCCCCCATGAGCTCTAGTGCAAGTGTACCTAACCTGTCCTCAAGAGAAACATCTAGCTTGGAGAGTTTTGTAAGGAGAGTGGCAAACATAGCACGGACTAATGCCACGAACAACATGAATCTAAGCCGAAGCAGCAGTGATAACAACACTAATACTTTGGGGAGGAATGTGATGAGCACAGCAAGTAAGTGAGCTTTCCTTATGGGACCCAATGCTTTTTCTACTTTGAGGGATGCAATATGTAGGGTCTCTTGTTCAGTGTGTTCTGGTTCAAGTATTTAACTAGACTGTTAACCATGTAAGATAAAACTTTAGCAGATTTAGTACTTCAGGAATTGGAAGTTACAGTCTACAGAAGCATTCTAAGAATTCAGATCAGCTGTAGGAAAGTCTCTTGTTCTAAAAGGATAGAAAACAATATCGCTTATGTTTTTCACAGAAATACATGACATTATTATCCTTGTAGAGCTTCTGGTTAGTCCCTGGATGGGTTTTAGTTATTTAATTTTAATTTCTCATGGATCAAAGTAATTTCCTTGGAAAATACATTAGGAATTACTTCTATTGAAAGTTTGCTTTTTAAGAAGCTATGCTTACTATTTTGAAAATATTTTGCTATTTAAAACAAAAATTTTTAGTTGGATTTCAGTTGGGTTCCCAAGGTTGTTTTTCAACTTTTTCATTATTAGTGCGCTTTATTACTTCTTTTGGCAATAAATATATTTGTTTTTCTGAGGTTTTTGCAATGTTATTTATACTGACTTGCTTCATTTTTATCTTTAGCTTCTCCTCTTATGGGTGCTCAGAGTTTCCCTAATTTGACCACACCTGGTACTACATCAACAGTGACCATGTCAACATCCAGTGTTACTAGCAGCAGCAATGTAGCTACTGCAACGACAGTTTTATCAGTGGGTCAGTCATTAAGTAATACTTTAACCACCAGCCTCACATCAACCTCCAGTGAGAGTGACACCGGTCAGGAAGCAGAATATTCCTTATATGGTAAGTTGCAGCTTAAAGTAATTTTTAGGTATTTACGTAATGATGCCTTTATTATGTTTTTCTCTTGGGTTCCTGTAGACTTTGGGTTCCTGTAGACTTTTGGTTAAAAAGAATTATTTCTTAGTTGGCTACTAGTAGTTTATACCTATAATCCTAGTTCCTCAGGATGCTAAAATCTGAGGATCACAGTTTGAAACCAGCTCTGGCAGAAAAATACGAGATTCTTATCTCAGCAAAAAGCCAGAAGTGGAGGTATGGCTCAAGTGGTAGAGCATCAGCCTTTCTATGCTAAGGAATTCAAGCCTTAGTACTTGCGCGTACATCCACACATAAAAACATTATTTCTCTTACAAATATGATATTTGTAAGTCTCAGTGATGTAATACTTGAAGTTACCTAGTGATAAAGTAGGCATTGACAACTTTCAGGTGTCATCTTTTTTTGCCTAATGTCATTAGTGGATTTGTACTGCTGAGATCAAACTTGTTCATTGCTAGGCAAATACTCTCACCAGTGAACTACATCCCTACCATTTCCCCTTCCCCCCCTTTTTTTTTGGTCGGTTGTGGGGCTTGAACCCTGGGCCTGGGCGCTGTCCCTCAGCTCTTCAGCTCAAGACCAGCGCCCCATCACTTGAGCTACAGCAGCAGCATTTCCGGTTTTCTAGTGGTTAATTGGAGATAAGAGTCTCACAGACTTTCCTGCCTGGGTTGGCTTTGAACCTCGATCCTCAGATCTCAGCCTCCTGAGTAGCTAGGATTACAGGCGTGAGCCACTGGCAACCGGCTTCCCCTTTTTTTGATCTGATAGTGTGACTTGGCTTTTGCTTAGTTTTTGTTTTATTTTTCAAGGCTGTCATTCTGCTACTTGAGCCACACTTCCATTTCTTGACTTTTTTAAAAAAATTTGGGCTGGGAAGGTGGCTCAGTGATAGAGCGCTTGCTTTGCATGCCTGAAGCCTTGGGTTTGATTCCCCAGCACCACATAAGCAAAAAGAAAAAAGCCGGAAGTGGCGCTGTGGCTCAAGTGGTAGAGCACTCGCCTTGAGCTGAAGAGCTGAGGGACAGCGCCCAGGCCCAGAGTTCAGGCCCCACAACCAGACCCCCCCAAAAAAAAGAATCTCTCAAATTTGTTTGCTTGGGCTGGCTTTGAATCTTCATCCTCAAATTGCACCTTCCTGAGTCAGTAGGCTTATAGGTATGAACCATCTGTTCCTGGCCTTTTTTTGGTTTTTGTTGTTGTTGTTTTGAGACAGGGTCTCATTATGTATGCTAGGCTTTCCTAGAGCTCATAATCTTCTTGCATCAGTCTCTCAAGTGTTGAAATTATAGGAGTATACTAGTATACCCAGTACTAATGAAATTTTAGTAAATTACCATAATTACAAGGATATTCGACACCTTCATTGCTTACACATTGTTATCAAAGTCTTGTGAAAACTGTTACATAACTAGATAACATATGAGTTTTTCCTTTTTTTTTTCTTTTCTTTTTTGCTGGTAATGGACCTTAAACTGGGAGCTCTGTGCCTTCTTGGCTTGCTTACTAATGGCACTCTGCTATGTGAGCCATGCCTCACATTCCTTGTTATTTTGAAGGTGGAATCATGTGGTTTTTTTTTTTTTTTTACCATGACTGGCTTCAAACCTTGATCTTAGGTTCTTACACTCCTGAATCAGCTATCTGTATCTAGATGGATTTTTCAGATTTATTAAATATTACTTAGAAAGTTTTGTAGATGTAGAAAAAAATTTAAATCATCTAATGCCTCCCTTCTAAATATGATTAATAAACACACCTATTTCCATGTTGTGCTATCTGTGTGCAGGTAGACTGGGCTTAAACTGTGGGCCTTGTGCTCTTGCTTAATAGTTGTTTGTTTTGTTTTGTTTTGTTTTTCTTTTTCTTGCTTAGTTGTTTTGTTGAGGCTGACACTCTTATCATTGAGATATAGCTCCACTTCAGTCCTTTTTTGGGGGGCTTGAACTCAGGGCCTGGGTGCCCTGAGCTTCTTTTGCTCTACTACTTGAGTCACAGTGCCACTTCCAGCTTTTTCTGAATAGTTTATTGGCGATAAGAGTCTCTTGGGCTTTCTTGTTGAGGTTGGCTTCAAACCACGATCCTCAGATCTCAGCGTCCTGAGTAGCTAGAATTACAGGTGTGAGCCACTGGCACCCAGTTTACTTCTGGCTTTTTGCTAGCTAATTGGAGATAAGAATTTCAGATTTTTCTGTCTGGGTTGACTTTGAGCTGAGATCCTCATCTCAGCCTGCTAAGTAGCTAGGAGTATAGGCATGAACCACATGTTTTTGTTTTCAACAACAAAATGATAATACCTTTCAGCCAGCTCTTTTTTTACTCATTACATTTTGAAAATGCTTTCAGAGATTTGAGATAGGATTCTACAACATTTCAAGTGGCTGTGAAGTCAGGTGCCAATCCTATATGACAATAAGGTTTGCATTTTTCTTAGATTTTCTTGATAGCTGCCGTGCTAGTACTCTGTTAGCTGAACTCGATGATGATGAGGATTTACCTGAGCCTGATGAAGAAGATGATGAGAATGAAGATGACAATCAAGAGGACCAAGAATACGAGGAGGTTATGGTAGAGAGAATCCTCCATTCTCTTCACTAAGATATGCTGTTAATAATTAAGAGAGGGGCTGAGGGTATAACTCATCGATAGAGCACCACTATAAAAACTTTGATTAGTTTAAGGAAAAAAATCTTTTAATCTGATCCTCTATTTTAACAATACTACAATTTCAGTTGTTTTAAATTGCCTTAAAATAGTTATACACAGTGATTTTCATTCAGTAAATCGGCTTATAACTATAATGCATCTTGACCAGTAGCACTCCTACCACTATTCTTCCAATCTTTCCCATACCTTCAAGTTACCCGATTCCGTTTTCAAATATGTATTGAATATAATGACTGTATTTACCCACCTTTTCTCACTTCATTTTTTTTGTTGTTGTTGTTGGGGCCTGGGCACTGGCCCTCAGCTCTTCACCTCAAGGCTAGCACTCTATCACTTGAGCCACAGCACCACTTCTGGCTTTTTTTTTCTGCTTATGTGGTGCTGAGGAATCGAACCCAGGGCCTCATGCATGCAACGCAAGCGTTCTACCACTGAGCCACCTTCCCAGCCCTCTCGCTTTATTTATCTACACCTTTCCCTCGGTTCTCCTCCTAACAAAACATGTTTCAGCTTCCTAGTATTCATTTTGTTAAACTTGTTGGTTAGTGTTAGAGTTACGTGTTTTTATTTTCATAGGTTTGAACATTTATTATAGGCAACTGTACTAATATAAAAATATAATTTTCATGATTTCTAAACAGTAAACCATTTTTTAGTACTTAGTGTTTTGTAAGCAGAACCTATGTATTTTCTCACTAGGCTTAACATGGAAGAATGAAGTAGAGGCATAGAAAAGTAATTTGTTTATATTATCAGGGTTAAGAAGAAAAGCAGAAATTCAAATCTAGGCAGTATGATTCAGAATTCTGAATAGTTAGCCAGCGTAATTGTCTACTGTACTGTAAATTCCATCTTCATATATCTTTTAGTTGTTTGTGTATTGATAGTGATAGGATTTGAACTCAGGGCCTTATGCTTGCTGAGCTGCTGCTCTACTACTTGAGCCACTCCCACCAGTCCCTTTTAGCCTTTATCATTTTTCAAGATAAAATCTTGCTTTATGCCTGAGCTGGTGTATACTGTGATCTTCCTATGTGCTTCCATTTGTTGCAGAGATAATAGATGGTACCACTGTACCCAGCTATTGACTGAGGTGGAGTCTCATGAACTTTTTATTCCCAGACTGGCTCAAACTGCAATCCTCCTGATCTCTGCCTCCTAAGTATTTATCATTATAGACTTAAAGCCACTGCACCTGGCTTCCTAATATTTTTTATTGTAATTACTTATTTACATTTTATCTTTATTATTATCAAAAACTGTTGAATTTCAATCATGTCATTTTAATATATATTACTTAGAAAACACATTAACAATTTTGCATAGTGACATACCACGACTTAGCAAGGTTCTGTTTCAAATATTTTTTGAAAAGGACTGCGATCTCAGTGGTAGAGCCTGTTCTGGCGTTTGTGGTGCTCGGTGCAGTCCTAGGACTGCTAAAAACAAAATGAAATAAAAACATACTAGTGTATTTCCTTTGAAGAATAGTACAAAACACATTCAATTCATAACTTTTCTGAAAATGACTAATGAAGATAAAGGGTTTAGTTCTACTTTTTGTTTGGTAAGCCAAATGGTGGAGATACTAATGGATCAAATAAATTAGATGTGTCTCTTGGCATTTTTTTGTTAAAGATTCTGAGACGTCCATCCCTGCAACGTCGAGCTGGCTCTCGCTCTGATGTAACACATCATGCTGTCACCTCCCAACTACCACAGGTCCCTCCTGGAGCAGGGAGCCGACCTATTGGGGAGCAGGTATTTATCATGTGTACCTTCCCTACATTGTATTTTTTACTTTTACAGGAAAGCATCAACCGAAATGTGTAAATGCCTAGAAAATGTGCAGAAGGTAGGAGAGGCTAAGAGGAAAGAACTGCCAAAACAATTTTTTTTTTTGGTCGGTCCTGGGGCTTGAACTCTGGGCCTGAGAGCTGTCCCTCAGCTCTTCGGCTCAAAGGCTAGTGCTCTACCACTTGAGCTACAGCGCCACTTCCCATTTTCTGGTGGTTTATTGGAGATAAGAATTTCACCAACTTTCCTGCCTGGGCTGGCTTTGAACCGCGATCCTCACATCTCAGCCTCCTGAATAGCTAGGATTACAGGTGTGAGCCATTGGCGCCCAGCTCCAAAACAAATTTAGAAAGAAACTTCCCTGACTACATGGACTGCAAATTTATCTTGTTGTAGTCATGAACTTGGAGAAATCTTATATATAGTAATTTTTTGGGGAGGAGGGTCCGGTTGTGGGGCCTGAACTCTGGGCCTGGGTGCTGTCCCTCAGCTCAAGGCTAGCACTCTACCACTTGAGCCACAGTGCCACTTCCGGCTTTTTTCTTTTTGCTTATGTGGTGCTGAGGAATCGAACCCAAGGCCTCAGGCATTCAAGGCAAGCGCTCTACCACTGAGCCACTTTCCCAGTCCTGGAGAAGTCTTAATAGCTAACACTGATCACTAATTGCTAGGAGTAATTCTTAATACTTTATGCATATTAAGTCTTTTTGACAACTCTTTGAGTGTTACTAGCTTCATTTTTTAAGCTGGAGTGATAGTAATATTTGGTTTAGGATACAAACCCAGATGTCCTTACTATAGAACTACCAAATGTTAGTTTGATATTTTGTAAAAGTTAATTTCAATTAGATGATAAAACTATTAGATTTTGTGTATATATTGTTTGATTTTAACAATTATCTACACTTTTCATATGTAAATAATTCAGTATGGGCTGGGAATGTGGCTTAGTGGTAGAATGCTTGCCTAGCATGCATGAAACCTGGGTTCAATACTTCAGTACCATATTAACAAAAAAAGCCAGAAGTGGCTCTCTGGTTCAAGTGGTAGAGTGCTAGCCTTGAGCAAATGAAGCTCAGGGACAATGCCCAGGACTTGAGTTCAAGCCCCAAACTGGCAAAAAAAACAAAAACAAAAAACAAAAAATGTTTTACACACACAGAATAATTCAGTATGAAGTTTACATTCAGAAAAATACAACTTAAGAAGTTTCACCCATTATAAGTATCAGATCACTTTTGGAATAAGGAGTAATTTTCATTTCAGAATATATTTGGATCTTTTTTTTCTTGTAAGTTTTAGCAAGGATTTATTTTAATATAATGGTCTAAGTAGAGAGAAATAGGAAAAAAGAGATAAATAGTTCCTGCAAGAAATAGGGGATGTAGTCATGAAATGGCAGCTATTGTCTGCTGTCTTTATCTATTCTTTCTGAGCAGGTAGAATATACATGTATCTAGCAACCCCAAATTATTAAACTGGTTCTAGGTGGCAAAGATGGGTGCTATTGGTTCTAAAATATGCAAGTGTTATTGAGTCTACCTAGAGCTTAATTTTCCCCAGATATGCTTTCTACCTTCCCATCTCTACCCATTTACAGAGTTGGTGGGGCTTTTAAGCCATTTAAAAGGAGAGGGCAGATAAAGTTTCTCTTAGGTCTCCTGGTCCTTGTAACTTAGTATTTAAAAGGAAATATGCTGGGAAGGAATTTTTTTTCCTTACTTTCTGCTTAACATCTGAATTTGGCTTATTGAGTATTTGTTAAAAATAGTATATTTTCCCTGTCTCATTATCCTGCTTCACTTCCCCTGTAATCAACTTTGGTCTCTTAATTTTAAAAGGGATGCAGAATCCATCTTTGATATCTGCTTAATGCTTAGGGTGGACTGTCCAGCCTGCCTGGAAAAAGGGACTCCAAAGGTCATTTTTGTAATTTTGGAGATGACATAGAAAATTTAGTTGGCAGGAATTCAGTTGACAAGATGCTGTATTGTAACCAGAAGATAATCAGGACCAAAAATAAATTAAGGTGTGTGTGTGAGTGTATGTGTGCGCGTGCACGCGTGCTCGCACATGCATGCATGTATGCACCATTACTGAGATTTGAACTTGGAGCCTAGGCACTGTTCCTTAGTTTTTTCGCTCAAAGTTAGTGCTGTACCACTGGAGCCACAGCTCTACTTCTGGCTTAAAAATTGTTTGTGAGAGATAAAAGCCTCGCAGACTTTCTTGCCTAGGCTAGCTTTGAATTGTAGTCCTCAGACGTCAGCCTCCTGTGTAGCTAATATTACAGGCATGTGCTACTGGTACCTGGCTATTCTTTCAACTATAAAAAAAAGAGTTTATGAAAACTGTTCTTTAAAAGTAAACAGCTGGGCAGTGTTGGCTCATGCCTATAATCCTAGCTGCTCAGAAGACAGAGATCTGTTTATCATGCCTCAAAGTCAGCTTAGACAGACAAATCTGAGAGTTACCTAGTTAATCAAAGGCTAGAAGTAAAGCTGAGGCTCAAATGGTAGAGTGCCTGCTTTGAGCAAAACTAAGAAAGCACGATGCCCTGAATTTAATACTGGCAAGCATGCACAAAGTAAGTAGTGCTTTCTAAATGGATAGTACATGGATTTAACATATTGCATATACCTGCTGTCCACAGAACCAGTGTAATAGGTGATAGATAGCTATAGTAGTGCTTGGCAACCTCTATCCCTTTTAATGTGATGGTGGTTAAGTTAGTTACTCTTTACAATGTTTTACTTTAATACAAAGTGCCTCCTGGAGGGAGGAGATTGATTTTTAAATAAGTTTTTTTTTTTTTTTTTTATGCTAGTCCTGAGGCTTGAACTCAGGGCCTTGTTATTTCTCAAGGCTAGTGCTCTATCACTTGCTAGTCACAGCTCTACTTCTAGCATTCTTGGTTAATGTAAAGGTCTCATGGACTTAACTGCGTAGACTATCTAGTGAATACCACTGTTTATTTTTTCAACCTTTGTCCCTTCATTTCTGTGCCTCTTCTTTTACCCCCCCAATACAAATGAGCAAAATAAGATAAAAAGAAAAACAACGAAGGAAAAAAAATCTTGTTTCCATTTTCTTCAGTTCATTTTGATAAATACTATTTTATATGATCAGAGGCACATAGGCATTGTGCCTTTGTGTCCCTCCCCTAAGAATTGTTTTCATTTTCTAATTTTGAGTAAAACTTCTAACACCATGCACTACTTTGTCCTTAACATACAAAATGAAAGGCATATCTAAATCTGGGAGCTTTTTGTTTTGTTTTGGCTTTTTGTTGTTGTGGGACTTGAACTCTGGGGCTGAGCACTGTCCTTGAGCTCTACAGCTCAAGGCAAGTGTTGTACAGTTGAGCCACAGTTCCACTTCTGGCTTTTTGTGTATAATGTGGTACTGAGGAATTGAACCCTGGGCTTCCTGCATGGTACGCAAGCACTAAGCCACATTCCCAGCCCACACTTACTTCTTTCCATATAGGAAATGGAGTTAAAGACTGTATGTGGTTATTTTAATAGGAAGAAGAAGAGTATGAAACGAAAGGAGGACGGCGGAGAACATGGGATGACGATTATGTGCTAAAGCGGCAATTTTCTGCTCTAGTCCCAGCTTTTGATCCTAGGCCTGGTCGTACTAATGTCCAACAGACAACTGACCTAGAAATTCCGCCCCCAGGTACAGTATTGCTTATTTTTTACATAATAATTTAGATTATTTTATATAATTTGATAAATGAGATACTACTTTATTTTCAAATTATAAGTACAAAAATTTTTAAACCTCTCAGGTTGTTTTTTGTTGGTGGTGGTGATGGTGGTGGTTGTGGTCATTAGGCTTGAACTCAGGGCCTGGGCACTGTCCTGAGCTTGTGTGCTCTGCCACTTTGAGCCACATCACCACTTACAGTGGTTAATTGGAGAGTCTCACGGACTTCCCTGTCTAGGCTAGCTTTGAACTGTTATCCTCAGATCTCAGCCTCCTGAGTAGCTAGGATTACAGGCATGAACCACTGATGCCTGGCATCCCTATCAGTTTTTTGTTTTGGCCAGTCCTGGGACTTGAACTCAGGGCCAGCACTGTCTTTAAGCTTCTTTTTCTCAGAGCTAGCACTCTACCACTTGAGCCACAGCACCACTTCCAGCTTTATTTATGTGGCACTGAGGAATCAAACCTAACACTTCATGCATGTACTCTACCATTAAGCCACATTTCCAGCCCATACTTGTGCAAATTTTTAAAGCAAAGTTTCATTTAAAGGTGGGAAAGTTTCTACTTTCTACTGGGTCAAAATTGTTAAAAATTAATTTTTATTGACTTTGAAAAGCTATCTGGTGGTTTTAGTTATGGCCTCTGCAGTCACTTGGCCTGGTTGACAATTTTATCCCATAAAACTGTTAATAAGGTATGGTATGAATCTAAATGGGCTCCCTAAATGTGACAAAAGAAACTTTGCAGGTAATAATTAATAAAATGGGGAGATTGTCTTTGATTATCAGGTGGGTCCAATTTAATCACAGGAGTCCTTTTAAGGAGGCAGAGTAGTCAATCAGGAAAATGTGACTAAGGAGACATCAGTCACTGATAAGAGTAGTTAAGTGTGGGCAGCCTCTAGAAATAAGAAAACCCAAGGATACAGACTTTTGAGTCTGGAGCAGGACTGAAACCTTGCAGATCCATTGTAGACTTCTAACTCCAGAACTATGAGATAGTCAATACGTGTTGTTTTAAACCAACAGTGCGTGTAGGTAGTATTTTATACCAGCAATAGAAAACTTAACACATTGTGTCAGTCCCCGAAATGGAATTATTTATACATGAATTTCCACAGTGTGTGTGTCTGTGTGTCTGTGTCTGTCTGTGTGTGTGTGAGAGAGAGAGAGAGAGAGATGGAGCTTGAACTCAGGGTCTGGGCGCTTGCTGTCCCTGAGTTCTTTCAAGGCCAGCATTCTACCACTTTGAGCCACAGTACCACTTCTAGTTTTCTAGTGGTTAATTGGAGGTAAGAGTCTCAGAGACTTTCCTGCCTGGGCTAGCTTTAAACCTCAGTCCTCAGATCTCAGCCTCCTGAGTAGCTAGGATTACAGGCGTGAGCCACCAGTGCCTGGCTTTATAACATCTCTTATTTGGAAAGAATAATAGTCCCAGTTCAGCAAGATAGTTGAGAAGAGTAACTGAAGTACAGTAAAGCACTTAACATGGTACTTGATACATGACTCAGTAAATGTCAAGTATTGTAACTAGTACATGCTTATTAAAATGACTTAAGTTGTCAGATCATTACAGTGTTAAATATGAACATAGACACTATTTATAGAGTAATATTTTATGGAGAGAATGGGTTTAGGCTGAATCAAGAGTTCCAAGATTCCTTCAAAAATGAATGTCTACAGTAGAAAGTATACAAAGCTTTTTGGCATCGTATTAAAATGTCTTCTGATAAAGTATTTTTTGTCAGTAATTCATACTAAAGCATATTCCTGCATTTTTAATACACTGATGAAATACACAGTATTGATATTATTAACAAAATTGGAAATTACTTTGATGCGACTTGTAACAAGGATATAGTTCAATTAAAGTGCTATGAGATGTTTTACAATGAGTAACAAAAATATTTCAGCCAGGCATGATGGTTCATGATACTTAGGGAGGCAGGGTAATTTCTGGTTTTCTGGTGTTTTATAAGAGATAAGAATCGCACATACTTTCCTGCCCGGGCTGGCTTTGAACTACGATCCTCAGATCTCAGCCTCCTGAGTAGGTAGAATTATAGGCATGAGCCACCGGTGTCTGGTTAAATTATTTCTATTGCAAAAAATAAAACAGTAGCTTAAGTGGTTGAAAGCATGAGTCCCGAGTTTCAAGCCTAGTATCACAAAAAAACCAAGATATAGAGAGAGATGTTTAGAAAAGATAGATAACAGATGGTAAGAGTAGGCAGTCTCTAGAAATAAGAAAAACCAAGGAAACAGACTCTTTAAAGACTAGAGAAGGAATGAAACCTTGCAAAGAGGTAAGAGAATCTTTAAGGATTTGACATAATTTAGCCTAATGTCTGCAAAAGAATTTGAACTTTATGCAACCTTGTTTCTTAATGCAATATTCTTTCTGGAGTGCTTGTTTTTTAATATTACTATTTTAATATGAATGTCTTCAAATTCATAGGAACACCTCATTCAGAGCTCTTGGAAGAAGTTGAATGTACTCCCTCACCTCGATTAGCCCTCACTTTGAAAGTAACTGGTCTTGGAACAACTCGTGAAGTTGAATTGCCACTCACCAATTTCAGATCAACCATCTTTTATTATGTACAAAAATTACTTCAGTTGTCCTGTAATGGCAATGTGAAATCAGATAAACTTAGACGTATTTGGGAGCCAACATACACGTAAGAGATTTTTAACTTAATGTTTAAGTAAATATTGTCATCACATGTAAACCCAGTAGCATTCTTGTTCTGTTACTTGCAGGAACGGGGAAGAGCATTTTTTATTCCAGATACAGAATGGTTAACTCTTAGGATGTTTAGAAATAATTTGACTGATTAGCCAAGCACCAGTGGCTTATGCCTGTAATCATAGCTACTCAGGAGGCTGAGATCTAAGAATCATAGTTCGAAGCCAGCCCAGGCAGGAAGCAAGGCTCTTATTTCCAATTAAGTGCCAAAAAAAGCCAGAAGTGGAGTTATGGCTCAAATGGTAGAGTCTCAGCCTTGTGAACAAGAGCTCAAAGTCCCTTATGGTAACTCCTCCATATCACCTTTATAATAACAATGTTAAATAAAGAGGTATAGGGGATAAAAACTTAGGGACAGTAGCCAGGCCCTGTGTTGAAGCCTGCTGGATCAAGACAGACAGATAAACATACATACACAGATGTACGCGTGCATGCACACACACACTTTGGCTAATTGAAGAAAAGAGTGTTATTTGAACTCTTTTATGGGAATTGTGTATAAAGTACTAGATATTGCTCTTCCTAATTTTAGGGTATGTCAGTTAAGCCTACCTCTTAATTTGTTCATGAAATTTAAAAAGTATTAATGGCCACGGGGACATTTATAAAATGACTGTAGAAGTGAGGAATCAATTTAAAAAAAGCAAAACAAAACATGAAACTGGGTGACGTGGCGCACACCTGTAAACCTAGCTACCCAGAAGGATCATGGTTCGAAGCCAGCCTGGGCAGGAAAGTTTGTGAGACTCTTACCTCCAACTAACTACTCAAAAACCCAAAGTGGCAAATTTGCTCAGAGACATTGCCAGGCCCTGAGTTCAAGCCCCATGACCAACAGAAAACCAAAAAAACATGTAAAGTGGTTTTAGTATTTTTTTTAATGATGTAGTAAAGGCTAAATAAATAATATCTACAAAATAAGATACTATAATCATTCACTTCATTTTTTCTAGTGTTTTCTATTCTTTAAATTCTGACTATATAATGGCTAATGAAGGTTCTTTTTAGGTAGAACAGAAGAAATAATGGTATTCTTCAATTTTTTTTTTTTGCCAGTCTTGGGGCTTGAACTAAGGGTCTGACATTATCCAGCTTCTTTTGCTCAAGGCTAGCACTCTGCCACTTTGAGCCACAGTGCCACTTCCGTTTTTTTCTGTTTATATGATGCTGAGGAATTGAACCCAAGGGCTTCATGCATACTAGCCAAGCAGTCTCCCACTAAGCCACATTCTCAGCCCCTTCAGATTGTTTTTGAAGTTTAAAAATTAATTTCAATGCCTTGTATAAACATAAGTACTCTTAATCATTGTTAATTCTAGTTTTTTTCCATGTTGAAATGTGAAATGTTTCATAACCTATTTTATTCTTATTATAATATATGATTATCAAGGACATTCATGTCTTTTTTTTTTTGTCGGTCATGGGACTTGAACTCTGGGCCTGGGCGCTGTCCCTTAGCTCTTCAGCTCAAGGCGAGTGCTCTACCACTTGAGCTACAGCGCCACTTCCGGTTTTCTGGTGGTTTATTGGAAATAGGAGTCTCACGGTCTCTCCTGCCCGGGCTGGCTTTGAACCGCGATCCTCAGATCTCAGCCTCCTGAGTAGCTAGGATTACAGGCATGAGCCACCAGCGCCCGGCTTGACATTCATGTCTTTAAAAGCTCTAGATTTGATGTATACTTTCTTTGCAATAATGCTAAGATTTTAAATTATAACTCAAAAGTATGGTTTTTGCTACTTTCCCATTTGTTTATTCACAATACTGGGGTAGTTAGGGCCTTGAGCTTACTATGCTGACACTCTACTGCTTGAGCCACGCGCCTTAGACCTTTCATCTGTAAGTTATTTATATAAGATCTCACAGTTTGCCTGTGATGGTCTGGGACTAAATTCCTTCCTCCTGTCTCCCACATAGCTGAGATTTCACATACTTGGAATTATAGGAATAAATCACCATGCTCAGCTTACTGATTTGAGGGGAGGTCTCACTTTTCTGCCCAGCTTGGCCTCAACCACAGTCCTTTACAGTAGCTGGGATTATAAATATGTGTCAGCATGCTTTAGTCCAAATTAATATGTTTCTTATAAGTTCGCTTTTAGATGGGCATTTTGGCATATGAATATAATTCCAGCATTTGGGATGATAAAGCAGGAAGATCAGAAGTTTGAGAGTATGTAGTAAGTTCAATACCAGCCTGAGCTACAAAGACCTGTCTCAAGGAATTCAAGGATATAGCTTAATTGTAGATCATTTATTTACCTCTGGCTTAATACCCAGCAATACCAAAACAAATATAAAAAAACATACTTTACCTTCAGTACTTAACAAAAGCATATGGCTAGTGAATGACATCATTCATATACTTTGTGTGTGTGTGTGTGTGTGTGTGTGTGTGTGTGTGTGTTCCAGTTGTGGGGCTTGAACTCCCTGAGCATTTGTACTCAAGGCTAGGGCTCTACCACTTGAGACACAGATCCTCTTTTAACTTTTTTGGTATCTAATTAGAGATAAGAGTCTCATAGACTTTGCTGCCTCGACTGGCTTGATCTCAGCTTTTTGAGTAGCTGGAGTCATAAGCATGAGCCACCATCGCCTGGTTCATATATTTCTTCTAAGAATTAGAGACTTTATGGGCACCAGTGGCTCATGCCTGTAATCCTAGCTACTTAGGAGGCTGAGACCTGAAGATTGAGGTTTGAAGTTATCCTGGGCAGGATAGTCCATGAGACTTTTAGCTCCAATTAAGCTCCAAAAAAGCTGGAAGAGGAGCTATGGCTCAAGTGGTAGAGCACTAGCCTTGGGCAAAAAAATCTCTGGGATGGTGTTTAAGCTAAGCACTGTGTTTAAGCCCTAGCACTGGCCTGAAAGAAAAAGAATTAATTCTTGTTGGAAATAAATCAGTTGGTGTATGATTTAACATGAATAATACCTTCATATTTTAGGATCATGTACAGAGAAATGAAGGATTCGGACAAGGAAAAGGAAAACGGAAAAATGGTAAGTTATTTTTAAAGATGTGTTTTTATTCTTGGCTCTTTAGTTTGAAATTTGAATTGTAGTTGAACATTTGACTAATAAGGAATTTGTTTAGATTAAGTGCATGATATTAAGGCTACCTCAGGAAATGCATGTGAAATGTCATAGATATATAATTGGGAAAGGCCAACATTTGGTTTTTCCTGTTGTAGGGCTGCTGGTCTGTAGAGCATGTGGAACAGTACCTGGGCACTGATGAATTACCAAAGAATGACTTGATAACCTACCTGCAGAAGAATGCAGATGCTGCTTTCCTGCGTCACTGGAAATTAACTGGCACTAATAAAAGTATTAGGAAAAACAGAAATTGTTCTCAGCTCATAGCTGCATATAAGGTATATATTGGCATAAAGACACTATTTTGTTTGGGAATGGCTTGTGCTTTATTTTTCAGCTTTAAAGCTTCTTCAGGGTCTGAAAGTGTATGAGTATTTGCCTCACATGCCTATGGCCGGGCCTGAATTTGATCCTTGGCATAATAAAAAATATAAATTTAAAAAGCTTTCTGGACTCTGATTGCTCACAACTGTAATTCTAGGTACTCAAAATGCTGATATATTGAGGATCATGGTTCAAAGCCAGGCAGGAATGCCCTGATACTCTTATTTCCAATTAGCAAAAAGCCAGAGTGGAGTTGTACCTCAAGTGGTAGAGCACTGACCTTGAGCTGAAGAGCTAAGGGACAGCCCCCAAGCCCAGAGTTCAAGCCTCATGACTGACAAAAAAAAAAAAAACTAAAAAATACAAAAAACAATTACAATGATTTGTGTGATAGTGTTTTTATTTAAAAAGAAGGCAATTCTTTGAAAAATCCCAATCCTTTCAAATTAATGCTTGACAGAAAGACTTGCTTTTCTTTTTTTTTTTAATTTTTTGCTTAAAATTATAATTAATCTAGTTTTGCTAATTGTTTTTTCAGGATTTTTGTGAACATGGAACAAAGTCTGGATTAAACCAGGGCGCCATATCTAGTCTTCAAAGTAGTGACATTCTTAATTTGACAAAAGAACAACCTCAGGCTAAAGCAGGCAATGGACAGAATTCTTGTGGAGTAGAAGATGTCCTTCAGCTTCTGCGTATTTTGTATATAGTTGCGAGTGACCCTTATTCAAGAATATCCCAAGAAGGTCTGTAAGAAGCTTTGTCTTATTTCCATAGCATTTTTAAAGCAAAACAGTTTATATCTTACCAATTATGTTAATTAATTTTACAGATGGTGATGAGCAGCCTCAGTTTATTTTTCCACCAGATGAATTTACTAGCAAAAAAATCACAACAAAAATTTTGCAGCAGATTGAGGTAATACACTCACAGGGATGAAGTTTTAATTCTTGGTCTTTTTATATTTTGTATTAATTGCACATAAGAATTGAGATTGTCTTTTAACACTACGACATGGTTTGTTGTTAATTTTCAGGAACCACTGGCATTGGCAAGTGGCGCTCTGCCAGACTGGTGTGAACAATTAACCAGCAAGTGTCCTTTTCTAATACCTTTTGAAACTAGACAGCTTTATTTCACATGTACAGCATTTGGTGCATCAAGGTAGGATTATATCTTTTTATATTTTTAGAGTAAAGATTTCCTTTATGTGTTAAGACTGATGTAAGCAATATATTACCTTCTAATCTTGTAAAGATTAATATCAAGTTTTTTTTGCAATTCCAAATGGATATATACTTTGTTGGAATAATATATGTGGAATGAAAAGCTTCTGTCACCTAACATTTACTGCATAGTTTTTGGCAACTTACATAAGTTACTAGTTGTTAAAATTCCAAACAATGCCAGGAACCAGTGGCCCAAAGTATAATCCTACTTTACTGTTTAAGAGGCTGAGATCTGAGGATCATTGCTTAGTGCTAGCCTTGAGCAACAAAGCTTAGCGATAGTACCTCAGCCCTGAGTTCAAGCCCCAGGACTGGCACACATGTACACAAAGGAATCCCAACAGTTTCAAACTGATGGTTAAGTTGTACATTCAGTTATTAAATAAAGTATGCTACAACTACATAGGTGTTTTTGTGTTTTTAAAAAATTTCAGAGCAATAGTGTGGTTACAAAACCGACGTGAAGCCACTGTGGAACGAACAAGGACCACAAGCAGTGTAAGGCGAGATGATCCTGGAGAATTTAGAGTTGGTCGTCTCAAGCATGAAAGAGTAAAAGTCCCACGTGGGGAATCACTGATGGAATGGGCTGAGAATGTCATGCAAATACATGCAGATCGGAAGTCAGTTCTTGAGGTAACCTCATAAAACAAGATTATTTAAGAGAGAATTAAAGACATGGAACTAGCCAAAGTATATTTTCCATTGCATAAAAGCTGTCAGTTAAATATGAGAAGATTTCTTGGTTACAGGTATAGAGGCCTTTCTTTTTGGCAGAATATCTTTCGTAAGAGAATCCTCCACCTCAGGTCAGGATCTTTTATGCTTAATGAGTATCAAGGAATATCTTCTGTCTTAAGAAGTTAAAAGTCTCGAGTATTAACTCATTTATTAAAGGTGAGCTGACTAATAGAACTTAGAGAAGGATTCTTTCTGATGATAATCTAAATTTTACCGATATATATTTTGTGCTAGTAGATCATCTCTTCAGCTCAAGGCAAGCACTCTACCACTTGAACCACAGCACCACTTCTGGTTTCCTGGTGGTCAGTTGGAGATAAGAAAAACCATAAAGCTTTTATAAGCTATATATATATTTTTTATATAAACTTTCTTTGCCTGTATCTTTGTTCTCCTACTCTTACATTTTTCTAACAAATAATCCTCACCTTTTTTTTTTTAAATCACACATGCTATTATGTTATAAGTATCATGAAGACACAGGTAAAAAAAGATCTGTACACTATTATTTTTTCAAATGATTATCTGAGGTATGGTCTCCTTTGATGTAAAAAGCCAGAGACGCGATCAATGTATGAACAGTAAGTTTAGTGGTTTAATGATTAAAAAAAAAGTCATTCTTTTGTAGAAAATCTATAATATAATTTCTCTGTTGCTTATAATACTATAATGTTGTGCATCAAAAAGTATACCACTAACTCACATGTAGGGAATTTTGGCAAGAATTAACTTGTTTAAACAAACACACACTTCAAGTTTACTTTTTTACATCATTATTTGTTTTTATTTTAGGTTGAATTTTTAGGAGAAGAAGGAACTGGCTTGGGACCCACATTAGAATTTTATGCTCTGGTGGCAGCAGAATTCCAGAGAACTGACTTGGGAGCTTGGCTTTGTGATGATAATTTTCCAGATGATGAATCTCGCCAAGTAAGATTTGTCATTTTGTGGTTTGAGTTGTAATTCTCCTTTAAAAGTGTTAACAATAGTAATTGTTATGCTTTTGGAGCATAAGCCAACTTGAGTAATCTTTACACTAAAAGTATTTGTAAAGGATAAAATTTGGACATCCAAAGCTGGTGTGTGCGTGTGTGTGTTTGTACATGCGTGCGTGCATATCTGCGTGTGTGTGTGTGTGTTTACATACCTTTGAAGAAATACAATGTTTATGAACTTTTTTTTAGATGATAATGAAAAGATTAGTTATTCTTGCCTTTTAATTTTATTTGAATTATCCTTTCTAAAAAATTAGGTGGATCTTGGAGGTGGATTGAAACCTCCTGGTTACTATGTACAGAGATCATGTGGACTGTTCACAGCACCGTTCCCACAAGATAGTGATGAGCTTGAAAGGATCACAAAACTCTTTCATTTCCTTGGTATTTTCTTGGCTAAATGTATTCAAGACAATAGACTTGTGGACATACCTATTTCTAAGCCCTTCTTTAAACTTATGTGTATGGGTGACATTAAAAGCAATATGAGTAAACTGATTTATGAATCACGAGGTGATAGAGACTTACACTGCACTGAAAGCCAGTCTGAAGCTTCTACAGAAGAAGGCCATGATTCACTGTCAGTAGGAAGCTTTGAAGAGGATTCAAAATCTGAATTTATTCTTGATCCCCCTAAGCCCAAACCCCCAGCTTGGTTTAATGGAATTTTAACTTGGGAAGACTTTGAACTTGTAAACCCACACAGAGCCAGATTTTTAAAAGAAATTAAGGACCTTGCTATCAAGAGACGACAGATTTTAAGCAACAAAAGTCTTTCTGAAGATGAGAAGAACACAAAATTACAGGAACTAGTACTGAAGAATCCATCAGGTTCTGGTCCTCCACTTAGCATAGAGGATTTAGGGTAAGTTTTAAATGTATCTCCTTTAACCTGATCAATGGTCAAACCTATGAAAGATTACCTGAATTTTCAGATGTGTTAAATTTATTGTAGCTCACACCTATAATCCTAACTATTCAGGAGGATCAGATTTAGGGATTGTAGTTCAAAGCCAGCCCAGGCAGGCCAGTCCATGAGACTCTTATCTCCAGTTAACCACCAAAAAGCCAGAAGTGGAGCTGTGGCTCAAGTGGTAAAGCACTAGTCTTGGACACTAAAGTTCCAGGACAGCACCCAGGCTCTGAGTTAAGCACCAGGACAGGCACACACACAAAAAAAGAGTTTGTTTTGTGTAAAAGAGTCCAGAGCTGACAGCATTCTGACATATCATCTAAAATGTATGGCTTAGCAAAGCTCAAAGGCATTTGATCTGGATGTCTCCATCTCCAAATTACAGCAACTTTTTTGGTAAAATTCTTTCAGTTTGTATACATGTAATCATTGTACTTACATTGTTTATATACATGTAATCATAAGTTTTGGGTTGGCTATAATACTTTCTTCCTTTTTTCCTCCTCTTCTTCCTCCTCCTCCACCTCCCCTTTTCTTATTGTTCTTCCTTTTTTTGTGTGTGCCAGTCCTTGGTCTTAAACTCAGGGCCTGGGCACTGTCCCTAAGCTTTTTGCTCAAGGCTGCATTCTACCACTTGAGCCACAGCTCCACTTCTAGCTTCTTGGTGGTTAATTAGACATCCATATCTTGGCTTCCTCACCATCTAGGCTTACAGACTTGACTCTTGGCTTCCTGGCTTATGTTTTCATCTTAATGTTTGCTGATAAGATTAGAAAGTTCTGTTTGATAAATGATTGTAAATGGTGTCATATGCCACAGTCATGTGGTTCAGTCAACAATAGGCCACATGTACTAAGGGTGTTATAAAGTAAGTGTGCAGTAAGCTCTACACTCTATTAGTAACTGTGGTTTTTTGTTTTGTTTTGGCAGTCGTAGGGGTTGAACTCTGGGCTTGGGTGCTGCCCTCAGCTCTTCAGCTCAAGGCAAGTGCTCTACTGCTTGAGCCATAACGCCACTTCTGTTTTTCTGTTTGTTTATTGGAGATAAGAGTCTCATGGACTTTGCTTCCTGGGCTGGCTTTGAACCATGATCCTCAGATCTCAGCCTCCTGAGTAGCTAGGATTACAGGCGTGATCCACCAACACCTGGCTGTGTTGTATTATTTGTGGAACAAAAATTATCTAATGCTGGGCACCAGTGTCTCACTATACATATAATACTAGTACTCAGGAGGCTGAGATCTGAGGATTGAGTTTCAAAGCCAGTCTAGGCAGAAAAGTCTGTGAGACTCATCTCCAATTAACCACCAGAAAACCAGAAGTGGTGGTGTGGCTCAAAGTGGTAGAGAGCTAGCCTTGAGCAAAAGAGCTCAGAGACAGCACCCAGGCCCCGAGGTCAGGCCCCATGACTGACCAAAAAAAATTTGAAAGTTTGTCATATTTCTAAAAGGGAATCTCATCATTAAATGATACATAACTATATTAATAATTGGTTTTTCCACACATGTGTATATTTGTATTTATTTTCTACACATTATTTCAGTGAAGCAGTGTTTTTTCCTGCAGAAAATCTTACATGATTCTATCATTCATCATAAAAAAAATCTTTAGTTTGATTATTTTGGTTCATAAGGGAGAAGGTAGTGGTTTCATGTGATATTTGCAAAGCCAAGCAGGTTTAAGAAACTGGCCTAGTAGGTTTTTGGGGAATTTGGGGGCGGGGAGGGGATCAGTTGTGGGGCCTGAACCCTGGGCCTGGGTGCTGTCCCTCAGCTCTTCAGCTCAAGGCTAGCACTCTACCATTTGAGCCACAGTGCCACTTCGGGCTTTTTCTGCTTATGTGGTTCTGAGGAATCAAACCCAGGACCTCATGCATGCAAGGCAAGCACTCTACCACTGAGCCACCTTCCCAGCTCCTGGCCTAGTAGTTTCTATGTATAAGATTTTGCTTTAAAAATCTTCACTCAGCTAGTTCTATTTAAAATATCCTGGGACATGATTAAAAAAAAAAAGCCAGGTATTCACAGTCAGATCAAAGGAAGATACTGTTAGGAAAGGAAACACAAAGGTACAACATCTGTGTGCCTCTGATTATATAAAACAATATTTATCAAAATGAACTCCAAGAAATGGAAATGAGGCTTTTTCTTTGTTGTTGTTTTTGTTTTCTTTTTGTCTGGTTTGTCCATTGGTCTATCTTTGAAAGAGTAAGGGGGTGGGTGACACAAATGGAGGGCCAGAAGGTGAACAAATGCAGCAGTGGTACTCAGTAGATACTACATTGAAAATGAACTATACAACTTGTGGGTGGGGACAAGAAGAAAAATGAGTGAAAGAGAAGTAACATTGTCCAAAAAGAAATATACTCATTACCTGACTTAGGAAATGGTTATCCTCTGTACTTCACCTTTATAATAACAATAAAAATATATTTAAAAAATTAAAATCTTGCCTCAGCCAAGTGCCAGAACTCATGCCTATAATCCTAGCTACTCAGAGGCTGAGATCTCTGGATAGTGCTTTGAAGCCAGCTCAAGCAGGAAAGTCCATGAGACTTACCCACCCAAAAGGAGGAGTGGAGATATTGCTCAAGTGGTAAAATATCAACCAAATACCAGCACCAAAAGAAAAAAAAAGACAATTTGCCTCATGTTCAAGCATTGGGCCTAATCCAGCGCTATAAATTAAGAGTAAAACTTTAGTTCTTGTATTTACATCTAGCAGTGTTATAAAAATTAAGCACCATGCTGGGTACCTGTAATCCTAGCTACTCAGGAGGCTGAGATCTGAGGATCATAGTTCAAAGCCAGCCCAGGCAAGGAAGTCTGTGAGATTCTTAGATCCAATTAACTATCAAAAGGCTGGAATTGGAGCTGTGGCTCAAGTGTAGAGCACTACCCTTGAGCAGAAAGCTCAGAGACAGCACCAGGCCCTGATTACTAGCCCCAGGCCCAGCACAATAAATAAATAGCAGTAGTGCTGAATGTTAGTTAATTTTTTTTTTTTGTCCTCAGATTAAATTTCCAGTTTTGCCCTTCTTCTAGAATTTATGGTTTTACAGCTGTGGATCTCAAGCCAAGTGGTGAAGATGAGGTAAAGATAAGTTTAATAAGGCTAGTTACATGAGCTGTTTATGAAATAGTACTAAAGTAATAATAATGTATGTGAATTTTTCTTTTTTAGATGATAACAATGGATAATGCAGAAGAATATGTGGATTTGATGTTTGACTTTTGTATGCATACAGGTATTCAGAAACAGATGGAAGCCTTTAGAGGTAATTTTGAAGGATACCAATCCATTGCCATTGAAACAGTTGAAATGAAGGCCAAGACTGCTAATAATCATTATACTTGCCTCCTACTTTCTTGGCCTCCAGATAATTAGGTTCCTACAAAGTATTAAGAACAGGCTAGGGCTGGGAAGGTGGCTCAGTGGTAGAGCGCTTGCCTTGCATGCTCTCGAGGCCCTGGGTTCGATTCCTCAGCACCACATAAGCAAAAAGAAAGAAGCCGGAAGTGGCGCTGTGGCTGAAGTGGTAGAGCACTAGCCTTGAGCTGAAGAGCTTAGGGACAGTGCTCAAGCCCAGAGTTCAGGCCCCATGACCAGACCCAAAAAAAAAAAAAAAAAAAAAGAACAGGCTAGAACATTGTAAAGCTATAATACACTTTTACCTCTCTCCTCTTATTACTGGGGTCCCACATTGGCTTTTATTTCAATTGTTAGCAGACTTAAGATTGTACTTTCTACATTATAGAATTTGAATGAATTGAGTTAATTCATCATGAGCAAGGGATGGGGAACTTTATTTTTTCCTCCAAGGGCCATTTGTGTATTTGTAACATAGCTATGACCATACAAAATTATCAACACAGGTAGATAGGCTGTGAGCATTTTGTGTCTGTTCAGTCATATACCAAAATGATTTCTGACGTGGTCCTTGCATGGTCATTCCCCACTCTTAAATACCAAGAAAGTTCTTCAAGTGAAGATTGGATAAAAGTATGGTAAATCACTTTTGAAAACAAATACAAATTGGCTGCTTTTATGACACAGAGCTGTGAATACCTAATTGTTACTTGTGAGAATTTGGCCATTAGCTGGGTGTCAGTCGCTCAGGCCTCTTGTCTTATTTACTTAGGAGGCTGTGGTCTGATGATCTTGGTTCAAAGCCAGGTTTTATACAGCAAAGTCCCTGACAATCTTAACTTCAGTTAACCACCAAAAAGCCAGAAGTGGAGCTCAAGTGGCAGAATGCCAGTTCCAGCCTTGAAAAAATGCTCAAGGACAGAGTCCAGGCCTTGAGTTCAAGCCCTAGGAATGGTTAAAAAAAAAAAATTGGCTATTGTCCACAATGAGTATTTTTTTCTTCCTGATTTACCTTATTGTTTGTTGTTTTACAGGTGATCACAATGAGTATTTTCATAGTCCACATTTTTAGCATTTTGAATCATATATGACATCATGCTGTGATGTTATATGTATCTGTATAGATAATCTGTATATAGATTTTCTTTGTGTGTCTAGGGTGTCACATTTTGATCTTAAGACATTTCAAGACATTTTGCTTTTTATGGTACTAGGTATTGACCCCAGGGCCTTGCATAAACTAGACTACTACTTACCTACCAATGAGCTACATCCCTACCCCCTAAACAGATTAACATTTTTTTGTTGTTGGTTGTGGGGATTGAACTCTGGGCTTGGGCACTGTCCCTGAGCCCTTCAAACTCAAAGCAAGCGCTCTACCACTTGAGCCACACTGCCACTTCCAGTTTTCTGGTGGTTAATTGGACTTTCCTGCCTGGGCTGGCTTTAAACATCAATCCTCACCTGGACACCAGTGGCTCACACCTATAATCCTAGCTACTTAGGAGGCTGAGATCTGAGGATCACGGTTCAAAGCCAGCCTGGACAGGGAAGTCCATGAGGCTCTTATCTCCAATAAACCACTCAGAAAATCAGAAGTGGCACAGTGGCTCAAGTAGTAGAGTGCTAGCCTTGAACTGAAGAGCTGAGGGACAGCGTTCAGGCCCAGAGTTCAAGCCCTATGACTGACACACACACACACACACACACACACACACACACAAAACAACCCTCAATCCTCAGATCTCAGCCTCCTGTGTAACTAGGTTTACAGGTAGGAGTCACTGGTGCCTGGCAGAAATTAACATCTTAAATCCCCAGAACATCTATTTTTTAAGCTATTTTGATTTGTATTTGTTGATTCACACATTTTTTTTTCCATTTTCTGTTCACTTAGATGATAATGAGTAATTTTGTTTGGTTTTAAAATGTGGTACTTTGTAACATAACTTAGAAACTAAGTTATATGTTTCTATGACATTTATATAATCTAGATGGGTTTAATAAAGTTTTTCCAATGGAGAAATTAAGTTCCTTCAGTCATGAGGAAGTCCAGATGATTCTTTGTGGAAACCAGTCACCTTCATGGGCAGCAGAAGATATTATCAATTACACTGAACCTAAGCTAGGTTATACACGTGACAGGTATGTGTTGGTAATTTCCCAATGTACAAAATTGTTTTGTAGCCAAAGCTCTAATGATAAATTCTTTTAAAAAACTAACTCTGAATTACATTGAAAATGCATATACAATGAATGATAGGGCCATGAGGGTACACAGATACTGAATAATAGTTGATGTTAAAATTCATTTTCTCCTGTTTTAATTGTTCATTATTTAAGAATTTGGCTAAATTGAGCCAGGTGCCAGTGGCTTGTGCCTGTAACTCTAGCTATTTACAATTCAAAACCAGCCTGGGCAGAAAAAAATTAAAAACTTACAGTGATTCCTCACTTGTCGTGGGAGTTAGGTTCCAGAGATCCCCATGATAAGTGAAAATCTGTGCAGTAGCAGCATTAGTCTGTTGTGGTTCATTTATTGCTACTTTGCAGATTTTCACCTGTTTCTGGATTGTAGTTCCCACAGTAGGTAAGGAATCACTATTTACATATTAAAAAAAAAAAAAACCCTGTGATTACAGTGATTCCACAATAAGTGAACCACAGTATAGCAAGGGATGACTGTGTGGCATTTGGTCTTTTCATTGTAGATATTCTTTGATTACACAGTAATCATTTTATTGGAATGAAAAGGAATTATTTCAAGTTTGTGTTGATAAATTGAGCCTTATTTGGATTAGTTATTTAAATTTATCTTACGCTTATGTGATTTTCTGAGTTTGTTGTAGGTTAGATCTTAGGTTTCAGTTCCTGTTGTTTGTAAAAGTGCAAGACAATCTGAGATTCATTTTTGGGGGGGGGCAGGGGGGGTCCAGTCGTGGGGCCTGAACTCTGGGCCTGGGCGCTGTCCCTCAGCTCTTCAGCTCAAGGCTAGTACTCTACCACTTGATCTACAGCGCCACTTCCAGCTTTTTTCTTTTTGCTTATGTGGTGCTGAGGAATCGAACCCAGGGCCTCAGGCATGCAAGGCAAGCACTCTACCACCGAGCCACCTTCCCAGCCCTGAGATTCATTTTTAAAGTAGCTTGAATCAGCCCATTTCCTGTGTACTAATAGTTCTTAACAGTCTTGTTCTTTTGACATGTAGCTATTGTTTGGGGCATAGACTTATTGTTGGGGTATGGCCTACAAAATAATTGCAATGTGTTTTCATTTAAATTTGCTGTAAAATCACCGTAACTATACACTTTTCTGCCTTTAGCCCTGGTTTCCTGAGGTTTGTGAGAGTTTTATGTGGCATGTCTTCAGATGAGAGGAAAGCGTTCCTGCAGTTTACCACTGGTTGTTCAACTCTACCCCCAGGCGGACTGGCTAACCTCCATCCCAGACTCACAGTTGTACGAAAGGTACAAACTAGCTAGTAGGGATTTCAAATAGTATTTAGTTAGAATTGAAAGGAAGAAAAAAAAATAAATATACCCATGGTGTTCTGTTTTCATTTTTTGTAGGTTGATGCTACTGATGCAAGCTATCCATCAGTCAATACATGTGTACATTATCTTAAGTTGCCTGAATATTCTTCTGAGGAGATCATGAGAGAACGATTGCTAGCTGCTACAATGGAGAAAGGCTTTCATCTCAATTGAGTTCTGAAGTAAAATGGGAGTCATCAGAGACTTAAAATTCTAGTGAAGCGCCTCTTGTGTTTGTGTGCAGAGAAATGTGATCCTCCACGCTAATGACACTTGCCTTTTATCCCACCATTAAGGCTTTAAGAACATGTGGAATAACTTTGTTAGCTGCTAATGACAAAAAAAAAAATCCTTTAACTACCCAGCCAGCAGGTATATTGCACAGGACAGGACACTGTGTTGATTCACAAGGGCTCATGTGACTGGAAAAGATGGTCCCACTCACTCAACTGTTCCAAAGAGCAGCTTCTCAGATCTTCAGTGTTCACTGGTAAATTTCTAACAGTGTATTTGTGTAAAGTTTGTTATTTCATATTCCATACACTACAGTTGCCATCACTGATCCCCCGTTTTGCTGACTTTAAAGCTACATCATCAAAAATCCTGCTTCCTTAAGACATAGAGAGTTAATGAGCATCTCAAGCTTTTTCTTTTCCTTTTTAATGATGCCTGCACTATCAGAGTATTCTAGTGTTCTCTCTTTTGTTTGGCATATAATCATGCACAACCTTTTTATTTCTTTGAGGTGGGAGTATATTTTTATTTCCTAAATGCCATTCTATAAAGATCAAATTCTTAAGTGTGTTTGTGCAGCTCAAAAATAAAAGATATATTAAGGGAGGGGGAAACACTGGTCTAGGTGCAAGGCACACTTGAAGCAAGTTTTATGTTTGGTTGTATTTTCTTTGTATATTATAAACATTTATTTAAACTTGTTGCAGTTTGAAGTAAATTTCCAAAATGTATGCTCAACAATAATCATTAAAATGTTTGCAGCGTACAAAACTGTGTCATGTGACTATTTCACTGCAGTCATCAGGCCTAAGAGCTTAACCAGATACTTTTCATTTTGAATTACTGAAATTTAGTTTTCTGATATTATGATATAAAAATGTGTTTTTGATAGCAAATACTAAAATTAAAGGACTAGAAGAAATCTGTATTCACATACTTGTGATCCATCTGCTGTGTTTAGTTGTGTAGAAATCTGCAGTTAGAAATGTCCAGTTATTATTAACTTCTTTTGTTTTTGGTGCTTGAATTTAGGACCTGGCACTGTCCCTGAGCCACAGCTCCGCTTCCAGCTTTTTTTGTTGTTGTTGTTGGTCATAGGACTTGAATTCAGTGCCTGGGCACTATTCCTGAGCTTTTTTGTCTTTTCACTCAAGTTGAGGACTTTACCACTTTGAGCCACAGCACCACTCTGGTTTCCTGGAGATAAGAGTCTCACAGACTTCTGCCCTGGCTGGCTTCAAACTTCAATCATCAGATCTCAGCCTCCTGAATAGCTAGTATTACAAGTGTGAGCCATTGGTGCCTGGCTTATAAGCTTTTTTAAAACAGCTGGTCTGCTATTTATCATGTATCTGCAGGGATGTAGAAATCTGAGATCGAGAATTATTTTCATGGGGTTAGAGGCATGGTTTAGGTGGTAGAACACCAACCAATGAGCAAAAGCAAGCATCAGATGCTAAGTTTGAGTCCTGGTCTCAGACAAAAAAAGAGAAAGACAATGATTATCTTGTTTTAGTGTGAAAAGAAACCACCAGGATATTTGTTTCCTGGTCTTAAGTGAGGAATTTCCATTTTCTAGATGCCTACTGTTACCATAGCTGTGCATAAAGAAATGTAACTAGGCCTGATATTTATTAGGGCACTAAGAGCATGTTTGAAATTGTCTAGTAGTTACATTTGAATAGATAGCTCCCATTACAATGATTTGAGTATGTTCTCTCTGAGTATTCTCAGAGAAGTGGTTGCTGTTGCTGAGACACTCCTACCACCCCTATAGCAAAGTCTAGGATGCTCAAATCTCTTACATAAAATGGCATGACCCGTGCACATAACCTATCCATATCTTCCTCCATACGTCATCTCATTACCTATCATTTCAATCTACATATAGGGAAACCAAGAATATGGAGGGCCAACTATATATTTGCTTGCTGCATAAAAATGTTACAACTGTGTAAAGCAGCATTTAAATATTTAATTGTCAATGTCACAGTTCTCTGAGGGACTGAATTTAAAACCTAATACCAATATTTAAATGTATGACTGGTGTTTCAACCCAAAAATTAGTATGTTTCTTTTCAATAAAGTCATGAATACATAACTGGTTTTAGAATTGAAATCCAGCTTATGTGTGTAGTTTTGCCATTATTTAAATCTCTAAAAAGGTTTGTCCATAATATTTACAAAGGTTGCCCTGGCAAATATGGCCTATTAACTAAATATGTTTTTGAAGTTTTTAAATAACTGAAAAAGTAGAATATTTTATGTATGAAAATTATGTGAAATTTAAATTTCAATATGCATAAAGGATTTTTTGTTGTTGGCTTTTGTTTTGTTTTGTTATGGTCCTGGGGCTTGAACTCAGGACTTCTTGTTTTTAGGCAGGCACTTAACTTCCTGAGCCACTTCTCTATCCTTACAAGAGGATAGAAGTCTTTGGGGTTTGGGGGTTTTTTTGTTTTCTTTTTATCAGTTGTGGGGCTTGAACTCAGGGCCTGGGTACTGTCCCTGAGCATTTTTGCTCAAAGCTAGTGCTCTGCCACTTTGAGCCACAGCTCTAATTCCAGTTTTTGGATGGTTAATTGGAGAGCAGAGCCTCATGGACTTTCCTGCCCAGGCTGCCTTCAAACCATGAACCTCAGATCTTAGCCTCCTGAATAGCTAGGATTACAGCCACCAACAACCAGCTAAGGTTTTCTTTTGGTTTTGATTTTTTTTTTGGTCAGCAGTCATGGGGCTTGAACTCTGGGCCTGAGTGCTGTCCCTCAGCTCTTCAGCTCAAGGCTAGCGCTCTACCACTTGAGCTACAGCGCCACTTCTGTTTTTCTGATGGTTTATTGGAGATAGGAGTTTCACGGAGTTTCCTGCCCGGCTGGCTTTGAACCCTGATCCTCAGATCTCAGCCTCCTAAGTAACTAGGATTACAGGTGTTTAAAGGATGACCCCAGTACTGGGGTTTGAACTCAGTCTTCATGCTCTTACTGGACTTTCATTTTCACATTTTGGAGTTAAAGAGTCTTGCTAGCTTTTCTACCCCAGATGGCTTTGATTCATGATTTTCAGATTCCTTTCTCCAGAGTAGCTAGGATTTACAGGCGTCGTCCACCAGGGTTTTGCTTTTCAAATATGGGGTTACTGACCTTTGATCTTCCTATTTCTACCTCCTAATTAGTTGGGATTATAGACACCATGTCTGCTCAATAACCATAATGTTTATTGTTTTGTTTTTGTGTGGATACTGGGGCTTGAACTCAGGGTCTTACGTTCTTGCTCAGCTTTTTTGCTCACGGCTGGTGCTCTACCACTTGAACCATACCTCCAGTTCCAGCATTTTTCTGGTTAGAGATAAGAAGTCTCAGATCTGACTGCTTAGGCTGATTTCAAACTTTGATCCTCTGATCTCAGCCTCCTAGGTAGCTAGGATTCCATGTGTAAGTCACCAGTACCTGGCTACCATAAAATTTTATGGAAGACAGTCATGCTTATTCATTAAGACTATGTGTGGTTGCTTTTGCATTACAATGGCAGAATAGGGTAGATAGCAGTGACCATATATTTCACAAAGTCTAAAATACTTTATCTTTGGCCCTTTATAGAAAAGGTTTGCCAACCTTTAGCTTAGCAAGTTGCTACTGTAGGTAACTTGGTGAGTCATAAAATTTTTACAAAGTATTTTATGAGTGAAAAAAGACATTTACTAAAATGAAGTTAAGTACAAATAGTCACATCACAGTTCAACTTTGAATGATTCAAGTGTTAGAAGACATCTAGTGTCTCAAATACACTAAGATTTTGAGTGTTTTTTCCTATACCTATTATTTTTGAAAGTCTTTTTATTCTCTGAAGGTACTGAAATCTGTGCCAAAATGTAATTCATCTATTTTAGTGTGACCCCAAAATTAATTTTATTCACTCCCTAGCCACTTCTGGTGTACCAGTTTCAGCAGTTACCTGAATATGCTTCTGATTAAGTGCCTACCAACTAGGACAGTGTTTCCCAACTACTGTGTCTCAGAAAGACCTCCAAAGTACTTCGATATAGTTGGGGCTTTCCCCACATCAAGACTACTTAAATCAAAGGTGGATCTGTATACACATATTACCTAGTGTTCCCATGGGTAAGAAGCCTTCCTCCTGCCTTCCTAAATCAGTCTAGAATAACTCAATTTTACTTTTCAAGCCCAAAATGACTACCTTTCTGGGTCCTTATAAGTAGAAACTTTGAAGCACGTAAATTGATTTTTAGAAAAGAATAAAAAATTCATATATATGAGAGCAAGAATAGCACATGCAGATTGGCCAGTCTCGACAAGTGCCCTTTTGGGAAGATTGAATGTTACAGATCAAACAGTCATGGGAACATTACATAGAATGTTATCTTAATTCTCACTTCCTCTTACTTGACCTCAGACTCCTCTGTGTATATATGCATGACCTCCCTTTTGGTAGTACTGAAGTTTGAACTTGGGGCCTTGCACTTGCTAGGCAAGTTCTCTACCACTTGAGCCATGCTAGGATTTCAAACTTTTACCTGAGCTAGCCTTGGACTGCGATCTTTCTGTCTTTTCTTCCTGAGTAGCTAGAATTACGGATGTATGTCACCATGCCCAGCCCACATACAGAATCCTAACAAAGCCAGTTTCATATATTCTACTGTTGCGTGAATGCTGATTGCACAGAGAAAGCTGGGGGTCAGGAGGCAAGGCACTGCTGTTCATTTGTGACTTACAGTTTACTTCTAAGACGTTTTTTACCTTGGTGCAGGTAGTGGGACTTGAACTCGGGAGCCTGCCACTTGAGCCACAGCTCCACTTCTGGCTTTTTTTGGTTAATTGAAGATAAAAGTTTTATGGATTATCCTGCCTGGACTGGTTTCAAATCATGACCCTCAGTTCTCAGCCTCCTGAGTGGCTAGGATGTGAGCCACTGGTACTTGCCTTGCTTCTAAGACATTCTAAGAGTTAAATGCATAAATGTCAGAACCAGGCTCCGGTAGCTCACACGTTTAGGTCTACCTTCTCAGGATTAGCAAAATCATGGTTCAAAGCAATCCCAGGCAGAAGAATCCACAAGACTCCTTTTTCTCCTTTCTCACCCCCACCAACTCCACTCCACCCTCCTCATGCCCAGCCCTAAAGTCAATGCCTGGGCACTGTCCCTAATTTTTTTTCCCCTTTTTCTCAAGGCTAGTGTTCTGCCACTTGAACCACAGCTCCACTTCTGGCTTTTCAGTTGGTTTTTATTTTGAAGATAGGAGTCTCATGGACTTTCCTGTCCAGGATGGCTTCATACCATGATCCTCAGGTCTCAGCCTCCTGAGTAACTAGGATGATAGGTGTGAGCCATCAGTGCCTTGTCAAAAGGTGATCTAGAGACATAGCTAAAGTGCTATAGCATAACCAAGCATGTAAGCCAACCAAGTTTGAGGCTATTTAAACCCTGGACTAGGAAAAAAAAAACTATTAGAAGGATTTATTTCAAATTCCAGACATACTCTCTTATTAAATTTACTTTTAAATTTTGTTTTTTGTTTTTTTTTTTTTCGGCCGTGGGGCTTGAACTCTGGGCCTGGGCGCTGTCCCTCAGCTCTTCAGCTCAAGGCGAGCGCTCTACCACTTGAGCTACAGCGCCACTTCCGGTTTTCTGGTGGTTTATTGGAGATAGGAGTCTCACGGTCTCTCCTGCCCGGGCTGGCTTTGAACCGCGATTCTCAGATCTCAGCCTCCTGAGTAGCTAGGATTACAGGCGTGAGCCACCAGCGCCTGGCTTACTTTTAAATTTTGAACGAATAAATTTCATTAAGACAAATCCTTTAAGATGTAGCATAAATAATAGTTGTAAAGTTCTCTTTTAATGTTTAAACATTATTTGATACATCATTATAGTTACATGGTGATGGCATAATTGCTAAGATCTATGAAACAGTATCAAAGGCTTTTGCAAACTGGTAAATAGTGTAAAATTAATTTTGCAGGGTCTTTTTTTGTTTTTTTTTAGGTTGTTGGGTTTTTTGTTTTTTAGTGTGTGTGGTGGTCCTGGGGCTTGAACTCAGAGCCAGGGCCCTGAGCTATTTTTACTCAAGGCTAGTACTCTACTACTTGAGCATACCTCAACTTCCAGCTTTTTTTTTTTTTGGTCGTGGGGCTTGAACTCTGGGCCTGAGCACTGTCCCTCAGCTCTTCAGCTCAAGGCTAGCACTCTACCACTTGAGCCACAGCGCCACTTCCGGCTTTTTTTCTTTTTGGTTATGTGGTACTGGGGAATCGAACCCAGGGCCTCATGCATGCAAGGCAAGCGCACTACCACTGAGCCACCTTCCCAGCCCAACTTCCAGCTTTTTGGTGGTTAACTGGAAATGAGTCTCACAGACTCTCTTGCTAGGCTGGCTTTGAATCAAGATGTTCATATCTCAGCCTCCTGAGTAGCTAGGATTATAGGGGTGAGCTACTGGTACCGGCTTAATTTTGCAGTTTACTTTGTATACACTTGTAATAAAGTGTTCTGTGTGTTGGTTTTGCAGCCCTGGTCTAGAACTGTTGATCCTCTTGCCTTAGTCTCCTGAGTGCTGGTACTATCTATAAGTGGGTACCACTATGCTTCTGGTGTACCAGAAGTTACCTGAATGTGTGATTAAGTGCCTGGCAGCTAGTACAGTGTTCCGTAACTGCTGAGTCTCAGTCTAAGAAAGACCTTTTTCAAAAGTAAATTTCATTTTAAAAAATATTTTTATTGGTATTCAAAGGTGATGTACAGAAAGGTTACAATTTCATAAGTCAGGTAATGAGTACATTTTTTTTGGACAATGTCATCCCTTCACTTGCTAAATTTCAGGGGTTTTTTTGTTTTTGTTTTGGTGCTAGTGCTCTACCACTTGAGCCATACCTCAACTTTGGCTTTTTGGTGGTTAATTGGACATAGGATTCCCAAGGAGTTTTCTGTCTGACTAGGCTTTGAACTGTAATCATGAGATTTCATCCACATCAGTAGCAAGGATTACAGGCATGAGCCACCTGTGCCCAGCTTACTAAGACATTTTAACCAAAGACCACTCAGAAGACAGGCTTACTCAAAACATCATGTATATTTCAGTAAACTTAAAATTTTTTGTCTGATAACTGCCACACATTCTTCCTATCCTGTTATTCCTGAATTTAATTTGCAAAAAGCAGTGGCAAAAAAGATTCCTTAAATTTGCAATAAAACATAGGTAAGGGAAAAATATGTTGACAATTAGAAAATAAAATTTGGCTCTTAGTTGAAACTATTTCTTTGCTCATACTTTAAAATGCAATTTTATTTGGTGTAATAATTGAAAGGTTACTGCATTTTGCCATGTGTGGTCTTCCAGATTCTTTTGGGATACATATGTTGAGGTGAATTCCATGGTGGTCACATTTCCTATAAATCCAATGCTGTCTGGCAGACCCTTCTATTCAGCTTTCTGACATCTTATCAAGGATTAGTAGAGGGGCAAGTATTCTTGCCCGATTGGTTTCCACAATGCAGCCATTTAACACCATCTCATCCAAAATGATGTGTACTTTATCCAGATTAAACATTATCTAAGATCCTATTAAGGAAATTAATTTTAAAGTTATAAAAAAAAGTTAACATTCAATTAATAGCAACTTAGCAAAAATCCTGAGGAGGTGTTCAGCAGAGGACTTCTGAAATTAAAACTAGTATCCATGTTAGACATAATTACCTTCATGTATACATAAACCCCTACTTCCACTTTGGTTAAGTTGAGGATAAGTAGGCATAGAAATGAAATAGCTACTTTTCTTTTTTCTTCATAGTATTGAGGATTGACCCTGATTAGGCAAGACATGCTAGTGCAAAACTAAGTCTATTAAGAGCTAGAAAAGTGAGTAAATTTCAGCAAGAGAATAGCCTGACCAGGAACGTCTTTAGTCACAAGAACACTAGTAGCAATGATTTGAATACTTCATTACTTTCCAGACAGTGTTAAACATGAACATACATAATTCAGTCATTATTATCTGCATTTTACCTAGGAGCAAAGCAAGCCAAAGCCATTGTCCAAGGTCACAGAACTGGGAAATGCCAGAGCTGGAATTTAAGCCCACTGTTGGTGTTTAAGGGCTCTGCTCTCCAGGCTTCTCTAGGGGACCTCAAGGCTGTCAAGCAGGCACACATCCCTGGCCCCTAAATCGCTACCCCCGCCCCCTCAATGATGCCTTGATAGCCCTGCAGCATCAGCTATCTTCTCTGCCAGACTGAAGTAGAAGGTAAGGCATACCAATTAAATTTCCCAAGAAAATAAAAGTTCTGAATTTTTCTTACAAATGCATAGTTCTTGGAAATTAAGCCACTTTTACTGGTGTTCTTATTGGAAAGTTACTCTAGTGCATAGGGGAAGTAGAAAGTAACAAAAAAATGATTCCTAGTAAACTAGAAAGAACCAATGGTTCCCCTAAGAAACCCTTAATCTGAGTCCTTATGTTGTGAAAGATAGTAACAAATGAGGTGAACTTAAGTTTCCATTCCTAAACAGGTTAGATTGCAAAACACCCAGCAAGTTTCAAATAGACACTTTAAGTGATTAAGTTCACTAGAAAAGCCAAGCACCGGAGGCTCATGCCTGTAATCATAACTACTCAAGAGGCTGAGATGTGAGGATCATCTCTCAAAGCCAGCTGGGGCAGAAAATTGTATGAGACTTTTATCTTCCAATAAGCTTCTCAGAAAAGGCCAGAGGTGGTGCTGTGGCTCAAGCACTAGAGTGCTAGCCTTGAGCACAAAGAGGCTCAGGGACAGTGTGCAGGCTCTGAGTTAAGAAAAAAAAAAAAAGTTCATTAGGGAAGTTTATAATTGATGAATTCCGGTATTATTACCACCAGTTTTTTTTTCCCAAAAACTCCTAATACTCAAGACTCTATGATATTTATTCACTGGAAGATACCTACAGAAGATGGGACCTCAATATAAATGACCTTTACATTTCTACTAGACTGTTACCATCACATTAAGCACTGCAAATATTCCTCCAGTAGAATAAACTTTAAAGAGCAGATGGGAACTGTCTTAAGTGACCCAGAAGAGGGGGAATAAAGGCTTTACTCTGATACACCTACTAATGCCTTCCACTTACATAGATGATTGCTTTATCATGTAGCCAAACTGGGAATGCAGTGAATTTTTGGCCTTTCACTCAACCTGCTTACCACACACAGATCAGGACTTTTAGCTGAGACAAAGTAGGGAATGATAGATCGCTAGGTAGGGAGTTGAACAGCACAGCTGGCTGGGGGGTGGGCGGGCAGCAGACCCTTCTGTAGGTTCACAAAGGGCAATGAAAGCCTTAATGCCTTTGATTTCATCTCCAAGATGATTCCCACCCCTGCCTCCATGGAAGGAAATCTAATTTTAATCTCTTCAATTACTCCAAGGATCAAGCTGCTGTGTGGATGGCTTCCTCTTTGGCAAGTAGATGATGTGCAATTCAGGTGTCCCCTTCAGCAACTGCCCAATTGTTTTGACAGTTTGAATTTACTGCTGACTAAACCACCGACATCCCCATGCTGCAAGGACAAGATCTTTCAGCAAGTTGAATTTCCCAACATCTCAAATCACGAGTTACGCAGTGAGGTCATTTCTGTACTGTGAGCATGTGACTGCTGGGCTATCTGTATCTGGCAGTTTCTGGCACTATATAGGGAAACCACAGACCAAATTCAGTGAAAGGCCTGAGAACTGATTTCCCCCTGGAATCATATGACTCCTTCGAGAATCCAGCTGCTGTTCACATCTTGATTTGGCTTATGAGCAACTGGTTCACACTGGCAAAGATTAAGGCATTTGGACCATATTCCAGGCCAGTAGGGACCAAAGAAATACCCCATATGCCAAGCCCTGTGGCAGTAGACACAGACAAGCACTGAGTGGTGACATTTGGAATTGGAGAAAGCAAGAACTAGACTGTGAGCCTATTCATGCAGTCAGTTGGCAGTGTGTTCTGAAAGGACCTATCTTAATCCATACTGAACCTGACTGCTGTAAACATTTGTAAAGCAACATGTTTCCTTCATGGACCTAATGAAACTGACAATGAACTATTAACTTCCCAAGGAGTAGATTTACTAAAAATCCCACTTTCTTTCAACCTTGTCACCTAAGGGTCTTTCTGCATTTCTCTATGATGATACAGATTGGAGTTGAACTTTACGGGGATCTTTAATACTAGTGCCCCCCGCCTCCCCGGAAATTGATTTTTAAGTGGTAAAAATGTTGATGGGTCTTACATGGGAATTTTGATCTCTGGGTCACAAAACACTTTACTAACATGATATTTTGGGGCTGGGAAGGTGGCTCAGTGGTAGAGCGCTTGCTTTGTATGCATGAAGCCCTGGGTTCGATTCCTCAGCACCACATAAGCAAAAAGAAAAAAGCTGGAAGTGGCGCTGTGGCTCAAGTGGTAGAGCGCTAGCCTGGAGCTGAAGAGCTGAGGGACAGCGCCCAGGCCCAGAGTTCAGGCCCCACAACCGGACCAAAAAACAACAACAACAACAACAACAAAAACCCAAATCATGTGTCTTGGTATGGAAAGTAAGTTGACACTAGAATGCTGGAGACATATGCTACTCAGCAGAGGGCTACAAAGACAAGCATATCTGACTCAGCCTCCAGTAAACATCAGTCAATACGTGATAACCAGGAACATAACTCATCCAGTACATAGCCTGTACCCTGATTCATATCAATTCCCTGTATATCTGGACTTCTAAGACTCTCTTCCTACAAGAGGCAAAACTACTCCTCCATTACCTGCAATCATGGTTGAGAGGGTATTAAAGCTCTCCTGGTAGACTGGGTATATGGCTCAAGCAATAGAGTACTTGTACACAGGTACTGAGTTCAAATCCCAATAACATGCTCCCCACCCAAAAAAAAGGCCCTCCTGATCTAATTTATCTCTCACTTTGAAATGAGAAGGCTGTGTGTCTCAGTAAGAGGCAAGCCCAAAAGTAGATCTTAAGTTTCTTTATTCCTAGATATGTCTCCTGGCCCTTGCTATCTTCCTGATGACTTTTTTTTAATACAAAGGATTTTTTTTTAAACAACAATAAAAAACCCTGTACACCAGGTGCTGATGGTTCAAGCTTGTAGTCTTACCTACTCAGGAGGCCAAGATCTGAGGATTGTAGTTGAAAGCTAGTCTGGGCAGGAAAGTTTATAAGACTCTTATCTCCAGAAAGCTGGAAGTGGAGCTGTGTCTCAAAGTAGTAGAGCATTAGTCTTGAGCACTAGCAAAAAAAGCTCGATGCAGGACCGAGGTCTTGATTTCAAGCCCCATGACCCCCACTTCACCCTCTATAAAAACAACAGTACGAGTACGAGTAGAACTACTATAAATGGTTTAGATAGAAAGTTGCATGCTGAAGAGAACATAGACTAATGTACTGTTCTTTTTGTTTTTGTTTTGTGTGTGTGTGTGTCTGCATGCATACTCCTTTTTTTTTTTTTGGGTCTGGTCGTGGGGTCTGAACTCTGGGCCTGGGCACCGTCCCTCAGCTCTTCAGCTCAAGGCTAGCGCTCTACCACTTGAGCCACAGCGCCACTTCCGGCTTTTTTCTTTTTACTGAGGAATCGAACCCAGGGTCTCAGGCATGCAAGGCAATGCATGCATACTCTTATGTGTGTGCTGTTTACAGAGATTGAACTTAAGACCTTGAGCTCTCACCCAGCTTTTTCACTCATCGCTTACGCTTGTGCCACATCTCCAGTTCAGCATTATTTTCCTGGTTAAATGGATATAGAGTCTTGCTGACTTTTCTCCCGGGCTGGCTTTGAACCACATTTCAGCCTCCTGAGTAAGTAAAACAGGCCCTGAGCCACCCAGCTCTTGGGATTTCTTAGGTCAGAGTGATCATAGATTTATGTTGTGCACCACTAGAGGGCACTTGTTCTTCCCAGTTAACAAGGCTTCTAACTACAGCTGGCAAGTGAATTTTATCAGCTGGATTACAATTTCCTATCAATAATAGGTAACTGACCATTTTTCCAGAATAGTAAATTTATGTAAATATATTGGTTCTTGGCATAGATGTCTACTTTACACACACACACACACACGTATATGTATATAAACAAACACATCTGTTATATGCTATATATATATAAAATGGGAATTAATATTTTCTCTAAAATGTTACTACGCTACATTCATGTGTGGCCACGCACTGGTGTCTCATGCCTGTAATCCTTACTACTCATGAGACTGAGACCTGAGGACTGAGACCTGAGACCTGAAGCTAGTCTGGGCAGGAGAATACAAGACCATGAGGTTCTTTATCTTCAATTAACCACCAAAAAGCTAAAAGTGGAGCTGTGGCTCAAATGGTAAAGCACTTGCCTTGAGCACAAAGGCTCAGAAACAGTGCCTAGGCTCTGAATTCAAGCCCCAGGACCAGTATACACACACACACAATTCTGATATATTCCCAAAGACATCTTTATCTCTTTCAAGTGGTAGGCAGATTTTCGGAGTGAATCAAAATGTCTCCTGTTTATAGCTATGCCACAGTGCCTAGTGGACTCCTGCCAAAATATGTAGGCCTGCAGCGTTTTCACCAAATTACGCTTGTGGGGTCCTTGGACATTTAATTTTTTAATGATACTAGATGTTAGGGAAGTATTCTACCATCTACTATTGAGCTATCTCTCTCCCCCCTTGGGCTTTTTTTTTGGCTAGGACTTGAACTCAGGGCCTGGTACTGGATTGGCCTTGTTCATGGCTGGAACTCTATCCCTTGAGACATGTGTCTAACCCAGCTTTTGCTGCCTAATTGAAGATGGAGTCCACAGACTTTTCTGCCTGGGTGGGTTTCACAATGAAATCCTCCAGAACTCAGCCTCATGAGTAGCTAGGAGCCACCACACACACCAGGCCCCTTGGTTATTTATTTATTTATTTATTTTTGGTCAGTAGTGGTCAGTTTGAACTCTGGGCCTGGGCGCTGTCCCCGCGCTCTTCAGTTCAAGGCAAGTGCTCTACCACTTGAGCCACAGGGCCACTACACCAGGCCCCTTGGGCATGCTTGATTTAAAGAAAGAAAAGGAGAGCATTCCTTGTTAGGAAAACAGGGCAACTTCTTTAACTCTCCCGCTCACCAACCGTATAGGCCTTCTGACCTTGAGAGAGGAGTCTGGAAATTGATACCTGGTGCCCTGAAAATGGAGTCTCTTTGGGAAAACCAAACATTTTCAGGCTGTATTTGTAAGTTTTGAATAAACCTATTTCATATACTTAAAAGAAATTGATATGTTTAGCTATTATCAACTGCTGCTGTGGCACTGACCTGTCTAGAGAAAACAGCTTTGTACAGCTGGGTGGGCAGTGACGTGACACGTACTGCAGGAAGGCTGCCTTGTCCAAGGAGGACGGATAGCCTCCTGTACTCTGCTACATCATTTTCCTGCCCTGTGGCACTTACCTGATTAAACTTAGAGTGCTTTGCCACTAGTTGTGGAAAGCAGCCAGAAAAAGGATACATCGAGTTCACTCTGGAAAAGAGAAAAGAGAATGCATGGATGAGGAGCAGACTCAGACAGGAGGAATACAACACAGACAGTGACCTTGGCCTCCCCAAGTCTCAGGCTGGGGAGCCCTGAACCAGGGTCTGTGATTTAAAAAACAAAACAACAACAAAACAGGTTAGAGGAAGCTTAGAGGCCAGAAAGGAGAAGGGATATAATAAATGAACTTTTACAGATAAGTTGATTCATATAGCAACAGCATTACCCACTTGCAGTACCCTTTGTATCCTTTCATTGTCGTCATGAGGTATACCCTATGGAATTGGGCAAAGGTACAATATACACGGATGTTCGGCATGAGGTTATTTTTTTTTTTGTCTGTCATGGAGCCTGAACTCTGGGCCTGGGTGCTGCCCCTCAGCACTTCAGCTCAAGGCTAGTGCTCTACCGCTTGAGCCACAGAGCCTCTTCGGCTTTTCCTGCTAATGTGGTGCTGAGGAATCGAACCCAGTGCCTCATGCATGCAAGGCAAGCACTCTACCACTGAGCCACCTTCCCAGCCTTACATGAGGTTATTTATAGTGGCAAAAAATTAATAATCACCTAAGTATCTACCAAGGGAGGACTTAAAGTAAACTACAGCTCATCGACACATGATCAGGTAAACATACAAGTACTGACAGCACAGTAAAAATAGCAAGAGTTGGGCGCTGGTGGCTTGTTCCTGTAATCCTACCCACTTAGGAGGCTGAGATCTGAGGATTGTGGTTCAAAGCCAGACTGGGGAAGCAAAGTCCATGAGATTCTTAATCTCCAATTAACCACCAGAAAACTGGAAGTGGAGCGGTGGTTCAAAGTAGTAGAGTGCTAGCTTTGAGCAGAAAAACTCAGGTACAGCACCCAGGCCCTGAGTTCAAGCCCCAACACTGAAATAAATAAATAAATAAATGTTTAAAAATGATATGCAGCCAGCCCTCTGCGTCCATATACATGAATTCATCCAATTACATTTAAAAATATTTGGGAAAAATTATCTGTGCTGAATGTGAACAGACTATTTTGACCATGTCATTACTAGTTATGCCACTGAAAATGTCCCAGAGCAAGGAAATGGTAAAGAGAATCAAGCTCACATGAAAAGGACTTCAGCACTGCAAACCTGGCCTCCACTTCCTCACCAGGCCTAGCCTCCTGCAAATGGCTTTGCCTTTTAGCTTTGAAAATAGGATGCTGAAGAGGGAAAGAGGGAACAGCTGACACTAAGCAAAAGGAGAGAAATGTACATACCACCTGATGTGGAAGAAGGAGTTGTGTTGTCAAAGCTCACAGAATCCACAAACATTATAGACCATGATAAATGACAACTTGCCTTGTGGAGGTTAAAATGTGTTTGTGACTTTTATGTAATCCCTTAATCTCAATAAAAAAAATTACATAAAAAAACATGATGCTGAGAAATTTCTCAGCCCAGACGGCATATGACTCATCTTTAAGACTGGAGGGGGCTGGGAAGGTGGCTCAGTGGTAGAGCGCTTGCCTTGCATGCCTGAGGCCCTGGGTTCGATTCCTCAGCACCACATAAGCAAAAAGTAAGAAGCCGGAAGTGGCGCTGTGGCTCAATTGGTAGAGTGCTAGCCTTGAGCTGA